TGCACAAAAAGTGAAATTATTTTAACTACAGGGGTTGGCTAAAAAAAAAAAAGTGTATCTCTTTCAGTGTACTTTCTGCACCATCAGTCTGCTGGAATGGTTCCTCATTCTGAAAATTTCCATAACAGAGCATGCACAGGAAAATCCTGCCAACCACATGCTAGCGGGATGGACTGCCATGTGTCCTGGGGCAGGGGAGGAAGGAAAGAAGGCACGCTTGGACAAGCAGCCTGGCTGAGGAACATAATGACACTTGACTCTCTGCATTCTGCAAAATGTCCTACCAGCTCTGCTCACAAGTGCTGAGGAGAAGGAGATTTGCTTTTGCTCCAGTTAAAATGATAATGGGTGGCTTGGTTCACGATGCAGATGAGATGGGTGCTGAGAATTATGTTCTCTTCCATCTTGTTTAGAGTAAACACGGGAATGATGCCTCAAACAGCTATTTCCTTTTGACTTCACATGCACTAGCTTTGTCCCTCACTCTATAGCTGGGAAGGATTTGAAAGCCTCAGAGGTGAGTGAGATATAAGAAACCAGAAACAGGATTTCTCACCCTCTCCTGAACCAGTCCCCCATTCAGATCACAGGGTGATTAGCGCTAGGGAGTGAGTCAGCTCAGCTATCGGCACTCACTCTGGGAAAGAGGCAGGCGGAAAGAAGGCGAAGTGACGGAGCGATGCTGAGCAGGGGCAGGGGCACACCTGCACTGCACGGCTGGCTCTGGCTGCCCGGAGCCTCCTCGCCATCCCTGCCCCGGCCGCTCCGCTCGACCCCGCCGGGCGCGCTGCCCCGGGGCTGCCACGTGCCGGACCAGTCTGCTCGGCCGTGACGGCCGCGCTAACCAGGGCTGATGGAAAATGTCTGGAGGGAGCGACGGTCACTAAAGCGTTTGTCACGAAGGGCCCCTGCATGCTACCGGGGTGAAACAGTCGAATTCCTTTTTTACGAACCCAGGAGGGAGCTCAAAGGCTTAGCTTAGCCCTGTGCTTCCTCCTGCTCAGCTCACTTCCTGGCACTCCTCTCACCCTCCCACCGTTTCTTATCCCTGTAACATGCCTTGCCCCGGCTACTGCTGTGTTTGAGTGGTGGCTTTGTTCCTGCGGGATATCCTGGGAGGATTAGCCCTGCCAGCACGGTACAGTCGAGCACCCTTCTCTAACCCTCACCCAAGGGCATGGGTAAGCAGCAGGGAAGCATTATGTGGCATTGTTTCATGGAGGTCCTTCCTTGGATGCCGACAGCTGAGGCTATTTTGTTTCTTCCTTTCCCTTGGTCTCCTCGTGAGGGTGAGTGGAGAAAAGACCTTTCAGAGCCCACACCTGGCACTCATGAATATTTCATGTTTCTTGCCTTTTTTTTTTTTTTCTCTTGAAGAGCAAAACCTTTTCATATTTGATGCCCTGGAAGGCTGTTTGGTTGCTGAATGTTACTTCATCAATGCTCTCTCTCCCTGCTTTTCCTCCAGACTGCCCAGCCCTTCTTCCTTTCTTTCCTCGAGCAGTGTCTTCTTTATTTCAAAGCATGCTTCAGAAAAGGTCACTGTCCCTTTCATATCCCCTCCTTGCTGTGAGCCAGCATGGCTTCTGCTCTGCCAATGGTAAAGGATAAATGGGGATGTGGGGAAAGGCAGCACTAGGTGAGCTGAGGAGCAGCACAGAGACAGAGAGGAGTAGTAGGCACAGCAAGAGAAAAGTAAAGTGGCAGAGGCAGCAGAAAGATTTTGCTGAAGAACTGGTTTTCCAGCACCTTACAGAATTTGTTATGCATGATGCACTGGCGTTGCTGTGGGTGGCAGTTTGTCCGGCGAAGGACCTTTGGAAAAGGGAGGCATCCCAGTTCCCCAAAACAGAATTCTCCCACAGCTGCACTGACAAATATGCCTTCTGCCCATTTCTGTAGCCCAGTACTTGCTTTATAGAGCTTGTTATTTTGGCCACCAAGCTCTACAGTACATCCTCCCCTATTACCCTTAGGCTGTTCAGCCTTTCTCCCTCTTTTCCATTGTTTGCAACTGTTTGCTTCCAGTCAGGCTGTGTAGACCCTGAAACACTGTGAGTCCTGCTTGAGTGGGGTGCATTCCCTCCTGCCCATGAAAGTGTTCAGACACCTGGCAGTGAGGGCATTTCCTTGGAAAACTGCAGCAGATGCCCTGTCTTTTCTGTTAGGCCAGTCCTTTCCTTCCTGGGGGATGGAGGACTGCAAAGAACCAGCCACAGACTGGGCTTCTAGCTTAGGAGGGAATAGGGAGGCTGAGGAACCTTCCACTCAGAGTTCCCATGGTGGCATACAGACACACCACCAGAATGCCATAGCAGAGGACAGGGCTCAGGGACTCTGGCCTGAGTATTGCAAGCAGCAGGGGAGGCTAACAAGGAAGTAAACAAACGTACTGAGCTTGTATTTACACTGTGCCTTTCGTCTATATAGAAGTAATAGCTGAAGTACTGCCAGTAACTGGGTGAACTCAGCCAAGGAGGTCCATTTGATGGACCAAACTGATGCATCTGGTGAGAAACGGATTGTCAGAGCAGTTGCTTTGTAGTTTAGGGCAGAAAGCAAAAGAGGTTTTGCATGAAGTGAAGTGATGGATTTGTTTTAGAGATACTTGGTCCATAGGAGAATTGCAGTTGATGTTTGGATGTAGCTTCAGCGTTCCTGCTTTTGGAGAAGCCAGTCTCATATCCACAGTCAGCATAAATGGGAAGAGAAAGATGAATTTGTTAAATAGGGAGATTTTAAATAAATAGAAATTTAGTTTCATTTAGACTTAGAAGTGGAACCTCTCAATGCTGAAAGTCTTTGTGATGTAGAAAAGATGCCAAGTGATGGGTCCACTTGCCAGTTCTTGGGTCATGGCCCCAGGTACCCAGAGTGCCTACCATGAGGGCAATAGCTATGGTCTTGGCACTGTGGTTAGCATAATCTTGTACCATCAGTAATCTCTCTGAGGGTCAGGATGGAGAACGTATGGGTAGGCAGGGATGTTTCCAAGAGAAAGGCAGACAAGTTTCTCGAGTCACTTGTCTTCTCTTGGAACACAGACAAAATCAATATTTGCAAATTATGACCCAACAAGTGTGTTGTCTGTAAAATTCTGGTGACAGTGTCTATTTTATCTGTTCTGCATTTCAGCATAAGGACAGTCTCCTTCTTGTCATTATTTAGCTCTGAAATGGAGCTAGTATCAATTGATCTGAAAAACATCACCCCCTCTTGCAGTGCTGCTGGCACAGCTTTCCGTGTCACTTGGCTCTCCCTAATGTTCTGTCCAGGACAGTTTATGAGAACTACAGAGCTCATGCTGTGAAGCAGTGTTAATGCTGGGAACATGCTGCACTGCAGTGAGGGTACATGGTCCTGAAGTCAAAGTGCTATCCAAAGTGTTTCTCCAGGACCTGACAGGTCACAGCGACCGGCAGCAGAGTGCTGTGACTCTGCTGTTGGGCTTTGTGTGATGAGAGATCAGACAGCTGTCAGTGACTCATGGCATGTCCATGATCCCCAGCGAGTGACTGAGCTGTGCCCCTGCACTGCCGAGTTACTGATGTACTTGTCTGGAAGCTGCCTTATGTGGTGACCAGTGATGCAGCTGGGCAGTCATGCAGCAGGGCTTAACTACTGCTCCACTCCCTGACCTTAGAACCAATGCCACTGTTCCTTGTCCTTCATTATCCTGTGTAGCCATCATTAAAAATCTTCTTCCTGCACATCGCCTACAGCTCCTGTCTATTCCACACCTATCTGTCCCCTATCTGTTCTCTGCTAATGTAAACCAGTCTGATATCCCACATCTGGCACGCTTCTCCCTCTCCCTTCGGTGTGTGTGCATCCCCACTCTAGGCACCACTTCCTCCCTTCTCTGTGGCATAAGCAGTCCAGGGAACAGACATGGAACATAATGTGTAGCATCATGTGGCTAATTACTTGATGTTGGGCACACAAGGGGGATTATCTTGTGCCTCAAAGGGCTGTCAGAGAATCCTAATCTTATCTTTCCCCTTCTTCTGCCATCTGAAGTAATGAACTGGTTATAAATACCTAATTAGCTAATTATTTGCTGGCCTATATGGAACATCTTCAGTGAAGGAACTCCCTGGGCACCTGGTGGAGGGACCTCCATGGAGGCGAGACGACCTCCTGAGGTGTGTGCAGGGTAAAGGCAGTACGGTGATGCTCAGAAGAATTTCCAGACTTTCACCATCCCCAGAGAGCAGAGGAAAAGTCATTAGCTCCATGGAGAAATGAGCCTATCTTTACCCCTACTTGGAGCTGTGTGAGCTGATGAGACAGGGGAAAATAAAACCACAGAAATAATTCATTAGGTAATTAGAAATTTAAAAACCCCTGCTTTTTGGAAACATTTGCATTGGGCAGAGGTTCTGTGCTGGCAGCGTTTTGGGCTGTGCCTGCAACTTTTGTGATCCAGTCCTGTTGAGGCAGGAGGACTAGGCAGGGGAACTGTCTCTTGATAATACTGTCACTAAGAAAACCAATATATGCTAGTTTATACGTGCTGAAGAGGTTCCTCCCACTGGCAGGCTGGCCTTGGTCTGTCATTACAATTCTCACAGGTTGCAACATGCAGTTGTTGAACTGGGATGTCTTTCAGTCCGAGACTGAGGATGGGACAGTCATCACTGTTCCTTTTCTGCAGGGAAAGGAGAAGCAGGGGATGTCAGTCAGATAGCTGATGACACCAGAAGTCTCATTCCCCTTTCCTTTCTCTGCTGCAGATGGAGGCCTAGGGTTAAGAGATCACAGCATCACAGCAGCTCTGCTGGCTGCCTGTCAGTAAAGGTTAGGACAAGAAAGGGCAATAACCATAAATCTAGCCTGGTTTGGACAGTAGCTAATTTCTGACACTATGCTTTTATCTTCATGTGGCTTTTTTTTTTTTTTCTGTAAACTTCTTTCCTTTTCTTCTTCTTCCCTTCCTCTCTCCCTTTCTCTTTCTCTGTCCCACACTTGCTCCTTCTGGCTCTCTTCTCCCCTTGCAGGCATGCGCATCCTTGTGAACTTGCTCCTGGACACCTTGCCCATGCTGGGGAACGTCCTTCTCCTCTGCTTCTTTGTCTTCTTCATCTTCGGCATCATCGGGGTGCAGCTGTGGGCTGGGCTGCTCCGCAACCGCTGCTTCATGGAGGAGAACTTCACAATGTGAGTGACTGGGAGACCATATCTCCTTCCTTTCTTCCAGGAATGTTTCTCTTTCCCCTTCCCTGCTCGTCTTCTGCTGCCTGGCTCTCTGTGTTTCACTTGCTCCAAACAGCTGTAGGGTGATAGCGTGCAGAGTGTTGGTCATGTCTTGCAGTGGTAAGGGAGGGCAGGCAAAGACAGCTGGTTTTCATCTGTCTTCACGGTTCACAGAAGAACAAGGCTGGGCTCATTTGGATTGGATCAAGGCACAGGTTAGCATGGCTGCCTCTTCCAGCCACACCCAATGATACAACATGCTGCTCCTACACCCAGAAAAAAATTGAAATTCTGAAACACCAGCCATGCTGTCTTTCTTCTGAATTTGCTCCCTCTTCAGAAAACAACACCCAGAGGAATCTTACAGAAAGCCATAGCGCTGCCTGATGCTTCCAGGGTCATCTTTGGCACCTCCAAGATGGAGCTGAGGTCACTGTTTGAACAGTAGTACATTACCTTTGGAGACTTTGGAGGGACACTAGGAAATTATTGGAAAACTTCAGGAGTAGAAGTGCATGTGAGTGGTGCCATGTGGAGGGGATGGAGGGCTGGGGGAAGAGGTATCCCACAGCTGGGTTAGCAAAAGTGAGAACATCTGAATGCAAAGAACGGCTGTTTCAATGGGACAAAATACTCATGGGGAAATGTGGGCACAATTTGGGCAGAGCCTGAAGCCACACAGGGATCAGTTACAGGTATCTGGGATTTTCAGGGTAAGTTCTGCACCACACAACTTTACTCCTCCCCACAGGCAGTGGGGTAGTAAAGCTCCTGCCTGCCATGAATTTTCGAATTACCAAGTTTCAGGGTACAGCTCCTCCTGTTGACTTTCTGGCTATAGCAGATCTCAGGCTTTAAAATGTTTTCTTAAAACCCTATGCTAATCCCAGGTGTGCTATCACTAAAGTAGTTTAGACTACTTTAAAAAAGGCTAAAGCTGTAGACCAGTTTAGACTGATTAAACAGTTCTGAAGCTTGGGGGGGAAAAAAGTGTGAAAATACAATCCATTGAATAGAGTGGAATTAGATAGTAGGAGCTGCTTAAAGCAGGCATTTCCTGTATTTATTTATTCCTTGGGGAAAAACTAATGTTTAGGATGATTGTCCTTTATGTAAATCAGGAGTAGTACTACTTTAATGAGTGTAATTACATCCGTGCAGAGTTAATGTAACTGAGAAGTGAATTGGTGCCACAGTGTTCAAAGTGACAGATATTAGAAAATCTTTGGCTGACCATTACTAGAGAAATCACTTCTGAAGGTACCTAATTCACCAATTATGAGGATGAGTTACGACATATTCTTTGTGGTTTAGTCCTGCTTAGTTTAGAATCAAAGACTTTCTGTCTCTCCTTTTTCATCAGCAGCTGTCCTCTTCCAGTGACATTTAGTGCAAAAGTCTATGTTCTCACAGTGTGAAAGTTGTATATTGTAGCACTGCAAGGAATATACCAAATAAAGTTTAGTCAAAAATTTTTAATCTCCACCTTTCATTTTCCTGATCATTAGCTCATCTGTAGCTAGGCAAGCATAGATTATTTTAATTGTTCATGCATTTGGAAGGTGCTTGCATTATTTGGAAAAAAGCACGTGAAACATTGTCATGAAACATTGCACCCATAATGCCAAATGCCAAGGCGGAGTCAAAGTGAAGTCAATTTTAACTTTGCATTTCCAGATTTTAGGGCTTATCTGTGCAATTATGCACGAATTGGATTTTTTCGTTTCCTAGAAGTACAGAACATCGCCAAATGTTACAAAATGTGTCTATCAACAGTTACATATATGAGCACATCACCATAAAGCCTGATGAACTACCTTAATATCATTGCATCTGATTTTGCTTGATGCTAATGGAGAGAGTGATCAGACTGCAAATTTCTGCATTCCAGCTTTTCTTCATCTCCATTGAAGCACTTTGTGTAATTTGGCTTGGGATGATCTGGTGGAAGACAAAACTCTGAAAACTGGGGACTCACCCTGGAAATTTCATGTTTTTCAGGAGCCTTGTCTTCCTTTCCCTTCTCCTGAGGCAATAAACCTGGAAATCCCTTACCCAGTGCAGTCTCTGTGTCAGAATGGGAGCTCCGAGCTTCACCAGTGTCGCTGATGGGAAACTGTCTGTCACAGGAGATTTATGACAGTGGGTGTTTTTACTCTTGCAGACAAGGTGACATTGTCTTGCCCCCTTATTACCAACCAGAGGAAGATGATGAGATGCCCTTTATCTGCTCACTGTCAGGAGACAATGGAATTATGGGCTGTCATGAAATACCCCCACTGAAGGAGCGAGGTCATGAGTGTTGTTTGGACAAGGATGATTATTATTACTACAATTCAGTGCGGCAAGAGTTCAATATCAGTGGCATGTGTGTCAACTGGAACCAGTACTACAATGTGTGCCGTACCGGCAACGCCAACCCACACAAGGGCGCCATCAACTTTGACAACATTGGGTATGCCTGGATTGTGATATTTCAGGTAAGTCCGAGTTAGCCTTCTAACAAGGCTCAGGCTATTTTTCTTTTTTTCAAATTCAATCTTTCTGGGCTCCAGTGGTAGTTTCTGCAGCCTGTGACACAGATGCAGAGATTAAAGGGCCCTGTAAAAACCCTAGCAAGGGAAACAACCTGCACACCATGAATGGTGTTCCTGAAGATGGGGAGGGACATAGAGCAATTACAGACCCTTGCTGAAAAAAGGTGCACTCTTCAGGCTGACTTGTACAAGTTTCCCCTTCAATGCAGACTGCTATAGTAAAGGAGACCTTTTTTTTTTTTTTTTTTAATTCCCAGCACGCGTTGCAGATGGGAGCTAAAAATCCATGCCTTTTTACTTTTCCTCCGGCTGTACGCAGTGTCCAGTCCAAGGGGCACAGAAACCTGCTGCGGGTTTTCCCCTGCTGCGATCCAGGGAAATGAACTATTTTAATGAAATATTCCTGCTGTGGACTAGAATGATCTCACAGGCTTTGACAGTATGCCAGTGTCACCAAGCAGTACCATGCTGATTTCATGAAATGGAAATTTGGCTTTGTTGAAATGAATTGTTGTTTCTCACCTTTCTTGGGTTGCAACAGCTCTGCCAGTGTCTGTCTGTATACAATGAGAAATGAGCTCTGGAAGCCCACTTCCCTCCTGTTTCTCTTGTTGTTTGTCTTTGTAGGTGATCACACTGGAAGGGTGGGTGGAGATCATGTACTATGTGATGGATGCACATTCCTTCTACAATTTTATCTACTTTATCTTGTTGATAATCGTAAGTATAAGACTTGATGAATGTCAGCAATGCAAGCTAAGAGCCTACAAATAACAGGTCGTAGATCAACATACATACTGGGGAAGCAAACCTCTAGGAATCTCGGAAATCCAACTAGTTGATTTTCACCAAGAGTCTGTGGCAGAATCACAAACATAGTTGTCAGCCAAATTATTATTTTTTACTCCAAAAATATACTTAGGATTGATTTCTGAAGTTCTACATACCCAGGGTAGGATAATGTTCTCATTGCAGATCTTCTTGCAAAGAAAGTTCCCCAAACCAGTTGGCTCAAAAGAACAGAAAACAATTTCTTTATCTGCCCTTCTACTTGGTCTCTTTGTACATTTTAAGCTCTTCAGTAATTTCTGAGCCATGTTGAGCCAGCAGTTTCTGGCAGCACCTGGATTTCTCAGGTTCAGAGTCTCAGATTCACATTTTGTTAGATTCAGAGTCTGTCACGCTGAATTACTTCCTCACCATGAACAAAAACGAGCTACTGCTCCAAAAGTGTCAGCAGTCCAAAATAAACTGGCTGTGTGAGATCCCTTGTGGATGGTGGAGATGGAAAAAGAGAAGTGTGTCCATGATGAGAACTTAATAACCAGTTTATAAGCCCTGTGGATTTATACAAATGAAGCTGAAGGTTGGTTTTCTGTAAGGGTGTTCACTGTCTGTACCTGGGAAGAAAGATGAGAAACATGGTGCCGTTACCTCTCCATTCCTCAAACCTCCTCACTAATTGCATTTTCTTCAAGTGAATATCCTGTTTCTGACAAGGAAGGATTTTGTTTTTATGAAGACTCTTACACTTTTCTCATAGGGGGATCAAAGTGAAGAATAGAAGGGAGATATGTAGGATGAATTATGGGAAGTATAAAATCTTTTCAGGGTAGATGCAATGTAGTTCTAGGTTACTTAGTCAGTAAGACCGTCAGTGTGTATCTTCAAGGCCTACACGCACTTGGATGGGCTGACAAATGGATCTGCCTAAGACTCTGATCTTCACCTAGTACTTGTCCTGGGGGGCTATGCTCTCCTACAGACAGGATCTCTAGAAACAGTCACCCAGTAACATTAACAGACCTACCTAGTACAGCATATAGTTTAAAAATTCAAGTTGACATGTAATGACTTAAGAGAAAGCAAATTTTAATCCAGTTTTTGTGGGAAATTCTGCAACATGTGCATATGGAGAGTGGCACAAAAAACAATCCCATTCAGTTCAGAGAACTTAAGAAAAACTTATTATATCCTTGATTTCACCCTGCCTTATGGCTTTTTACCATTGCAAGGGAAAGACAAGGAGAGAAAAACAGAAGGATGATCTACTCTTTGTGGGCTGTGTCCCTGTGTTTCTGAGCCTGGACAGCAGAGGTGAAATACACCTTAAGGAATGTTACTTTTACTTTGAGCCTGGAGAGTCCCAGAGAGACAGTGCAGAGATGTGATTGCACAGGATGGGGTGGCGGCGGGTGGAGTTCCCATGTGCTCTGTTCTCAAAGGCAAACTGAACATCCCCTGCTTTTTATGAGTTCAGAAAATACTTATTTCCCATGAAGTTTGTTCCTATATCCCACAATGCAATAGATACTTAGTACCCACTTGCATTTTCACCTTGAGCAGCATGATGAGGATACCCAGATTTGTAGAATATGTAGTTCCATACAGAAGTTATTCCTTGTCCCAGAGCCACAGTTTCTCTCAGAGCCAGGAAGGACTGTGCAGAATCAGCATTTAACCATTGGAGCAGGCATGCCCAGTCTGTTGCAGACCAGCTCTAAAAACTGCCCCTCACCCGCTATTTCAAATTACATAAATCCTGTCAGCATATTTTTGGTTTCTAAGCATCCTTCTAGTACTGGCTCACCTCATGTGGTTTCACAGTGATTCAAACTTTTTCTCTGAATTTCCAGGCACTGAAAACCCTCAATTAAACACTCCACCTGAGATTTTACTGCAGAGTGTCATTGACATTTCTAGACACTCCCTCCTCATTTGCAGAAGCCGTATAGGTTTATTTCCATAAAACACAGGAGAATAGGAATCTCAAGTTACTTTGGGGACTGCTCAGAACAGAGGAGCCATATGCTAGGTGGGATAGTTCCTTTACCTTTTTTGGAGTTGCACCAAGAAAGTATTTAGCCTTTCTGTTACCTTCTTGGCATGTGTGATGCATCTTTTGTAGCACATAGCACAGTTTGCACTGTTGCTATCACTTGGTTGCATTTTCTGTCTGAGTCTTCTTATAGAAATGACACTCCCTCTTTAAGTCTCATGAAGTACAGTCCTTCCAGCCTTTATCCTTCCCTCCTTCTCCATGGTTGAAAGGCTGAGGTTTCTAAGCAGGAGTGCTCTGACAGTCATACTTTAAGCCCTGACTCTTTGCTTTTCCACATACATTCTAGCCTTGGCTCAGACTTTCACTTCTGGACCTGGATCTCTGCAGCTGCTCTTTAGAGCTGTGCTTTCATCCATGACTTCTTCCCTCAAAATGATATTTTCAAACTCCTACATAAGGGCATTACCTACTACTTGCTCATATGTCAGGAAGAAGGCTCCACCACCTGGATATGTTCTCAGCACAGTTAGAAATCCTGCACAGATGTGCTTCTCTGAGGGGAAGAGCGCTGGCTGACCCTGGCGCTCAGAGTGGTCTTGTAGAACAACCTGGTAAAAGAATTTTATGTATTCAGCTGATTTTAAATAGCTGCCCCCTTGACCAGAGATCAAGGAGGTGACATGAAGGACTGCTTTCTGCTCTCAGGTCAGTGTTTCATTTCAGTCTTCCTGCTTGAGGTCCAGCTATCTCTTTGTCACCTCTCCAGCTACTTGGCCACTACTATGGCTCCTGGACTAGAGCAAGCTCTTCTGAATTCTCAGACTGTCTCTGAGAATTGTGCAGTGCAGTGCAGCACTCAGAGGCCTCCTTGAAGTGCTCTGTGCTTACACAAGAAGACAAGCTGGATATCCAGGCATAAGCAATAAAAATAATTGACAAGTCAGCATCTGCAGCACTAGTCAGATTTTATTAGATACTACAGAGATAGGGATTGAACTTTGGGCTGAATGAGGCCAGGATCTGCTTAACCAAAGCAGAGCTCAGTCTCAGGACTGAATGGGACTCCTGTGTTGGGGCTCTGAATTGTTGTTTGTGGAACTGTAGGAAGTTGCAAAGTACAGGGAAGTGTAACAAGTAGTGTTCCAGCAATGCTCATGCAGGTGGTGTCCAGCTCCCAGTACTGCCTCACTCAGTGTAAGCAGAGGGAGATAATTGAAAGGGAAAGCCTATGTGAGTGTCATGTGTTGCTGAGGAGTGTCCATCAGAGAATTTGGATTCCCAGTCATACTCTCATCAGTTAGAACATGTATGACATCATGGACTGGGGAAAATCTTGGGTGAAAGTGAAGGAATCTGAATGAGTTTTGTGGGTTTTTTCGTAATTTTGAAGGCCACATTTAGAAGCTGAAGGGAAAATAGGCTGAAATATGGGGGAAAGGAGAGAGAAGGGTTCAGGGATGAAGGGAAACCAAATTAGAACAACTTTGAAGGGGGCAGGGAGGGGGGTGGGGAAACCCTTTATTTTAAGATAGTTTATTGTCCTTAAGTTGAATCTGATCAGAAAGAGCTTCATGTTTCGAAGAGTTACTGAGATGCTACCAGGGACTCCTCCCTTTGAAATACCAACAGCCACAGTTGAGCCTCTGGACAGAGCTGCTGGGCATCTCTGTGCAAGAGAAAGGGGCTTCCAGGGGAGCAAGCTTGTGAGGGGATGGCAAGGGCTATAAGCTGAGGGGAAGGCTGTTTGGATAGGTAAAACAAGCTGGAGTCATTGCTGAAAAAAAAAAATCTTTTCCATGTACAAGGGCTGGGATCAGGTTACCACCACCTTTGCTTGCTCTCTCCCATTTACTGGAGAGGTTATAGGGGGGAGGACTGAATCCAGCTCTCTGTCTGGGCTGTTTGCTTGTAAAGGGGAGAGAGTGAGGTGAGACTGGGTCCTGTGTGGGTTCATACATGAGAAACATGGTGCGAAGATGTTCCTTAGCAGGGATACTCACTGGTCCAGGGAAAGCAGAAATCTTGACCTGGTGCCTTGTCTCCTCCTAGGGACCGTCCCACAGAGTCTATTTCAGAGTAGGCAGTAGTTCAGAGTTCAGACTCTGCATTTTATCAATGCCCTATTGGCACTTACAGCTCTATGGGGAGTAGGCACCAATCAAGGCATTATAGCTCTTGAAAATGATTTTGCATGTGTTAACAGCCCATTTATGTGTGACATTCTCATCATATTGAAGTCCAGGTTTTATCCTAAATCTCTCTACCTGTGGATAAATCTACTAGTGGAGTTTAATTTCTTATTTTATAATATATAACACAAAGTGAGATAATTTTACCCCCAGATTTCTCAGCATCAAGAAATCCGTTTTATAGGTAGAAAAACTGAGACTTAAAGGGAACATGCAAAGTTGTAAAATAAGCTTGGTAGACATTTTGGCTTCTGTATGGAATAAGTACAACTTGGACATTTTATTTGGTTTTGTTCCTAAGAAACTGGGGGAGTGAGTTGTGTAGGTTTTTCATGTTTGAAATGGAAAGCCTACCTAGGCTGATGGACAAGTGAAATAAGAGCTAGTATAATAGGTCTTGTATCAGAAGACTAGAAAATGAACTAGGAAGCATGGTTTTTCCAGACCACTCAGTGTCCTCAGAGTCATTAGTTTTTGTAAACTCCTCTTGGATTTCAAGAGGTCATTCATTTCTGAATGCCACTGCCCTGTACGGTGAAATAAGGTGTAAATGTAGAAGTTAATAATATGCTCCAGGTATACTGATGGATCCTTAAAATGATCTGAGAATACTAACATGTCCTCCAAGAGCTGAAGATCATAAATGGCAGTGCATGTTTTTTCTGATAGTAAATGAATAAGCAGAGGAGAAAGCAATAAAACTTCTAAGCTGGTTCTCAATTTCCCACCATCTGTTTAACACAAAGGAGAGGAAAAGAAAAAGTCCAGTTTTCATTAAACCCTTTGTATGCAACTTCAAAAAAGGTCCCAAAGCATACCAAAAGGACCAGAAGTTGAACCTGTATTTCTTGAATTTCAGTTCATAGCTCTGAGTTCTGCATGGAAATGATGTCTAGTGAGGTCTCCAAACCAAGCTCACGCATTCCCGGCTTTCTCTGAAACCCCTTCTCCATATGCAAACTCGTTCCCATTCCTCTGCCTCCAGTGAATTTCTCCTCTTACATTCCCCCTCCCACATGTTCTTCCTCATGCTGACATTGACCGTCCCTTCTTCTCCTTTGCTATTAGGTGGGCTCTTTCTTCATGATTAACCTGTGCCTGGTGGTCATCGCCACACAGTTCTCGGAGACCAAGCAGCGGGAGCACCAGCTGATGCAGGAGCAGAGGGCCCGGTACCTCTCCTCCAGCACTGTCGCCAGCTACATGGAGCCGGGAGACTGCTACGAGGAGATCTTCCAATACGTCTGCCACATCGTGCGCAAAGCCAAGCGCCGCACCCTCGGGCTGTACAACAGCATCCAGAGCTGGCGCCAGGGCAACGTGGAGACGAGCGATGCCAAACCTGGCGTGAACAGGAAAAGACAGAGGCATTACAGTAAGGATTGTACGGGTAAAGCTGGAAATCCCCATAGTGTAAATGTGAGAGTAACTGGGAGCATCTTCATGTGCCAGATTGCCAAAGGACCTGTGGCTACAAAGCACAGAATTAGAATTAGCACTGGCTATTGAGCATGACACCATGGCCAAACACACCAGACCAGCAAGGTGGAGATGACCAGCCAAGAATGGGAATGAAACAGGGGGAACCAGCAGGGAACGTGGGTGATCCAGGTCTGAAATCCGGAGGCAACAAAGAAATAAAGTTAAAGGCACCATCTGAGGCTTGTAAAGGGTTACATGTCTGGTATAACCAGGTGATGATAGCAGTTTGGGAGAGAGAAGACTTAGGGGGATATGACAAAGTAGGACAAAGAATTGGACTTGGTGACACAGCAGGTCCCCCAGAGCTATCCTCCCAAACTGAGTTGCTGTGGGACCTCAGGAGAGAGGCAAAGAGAGTAGAATTGCAGTAGGGTGTCCCCTGAACCTAGGGAACAATGCTGAAGAAGTCTGTTTGATATGCAAGGGCAGTGGAGATAATTTCTTTTGACAGGAGCACATGCTGTTATGCAAAATATCACGAGATATCATTTAAATTGGATTCCTTGCCAGAAAAGTCACTGTGAAAGTGGCTGCTGATTCCCTTCCTAAATTGTGCTCCCATTAACAAGCAGAACGCAGATTTTCCTTCATCTGGTCTTGCATACTCAGAATTTAATTTTCTTTACTTGCTGGGAGAAAAGTTTCTACAGGCTTTATGCACGATGTTAATGAATTAATTGCTTCATTCCCCCAGTGTCCATTTGACCTTCTAGGTCCAAATGGAGGATCAAGGAACACAAATTTAGTTTGTGTTCCTTGAACACTGAAGTCAAGAGATCTGTTCTGATTCAGAACGCAGACTATCAGGAGTAAGTGTACTACCTCTTCTGGCTTTTTGAGATGATTTGCTAATGTAGTTTCTCTAATTGAGAGAGTTCAGCTCAGCCTGGGTGTTCTTGGGCCCCACTTGTAGCAGTTCAGGACAAAATCAGCTCTTGTGACCATTTTTCCCCACAGCTCTCACTTAACACAAGCTACTGAGTCTCAAGCTGCAATTTCTGCATTAGACAATTCTTTCTCTGATGGACATGAACCCCTGTTGAGCCTAATCACTGGCAAGCTGAACGGTACCATGCCTTTTGGAAACACAGCCCATCAGTGTAAAACCTCCAACAGCAATGGCTTTTATTACTGCCCTTGAGATGATCTGTCAGTGTTTAATCATTCTTAGTGCTAAAAAGCCCAGCTATCCTGTCTAAATACCCAAAATCCAAACACATGTCCACTTTCAATGTCTTTTCAAAACCTTCTCCTTTAAGCATAACCATTTCTCTTCCCAGGGCTTTGCCAGCAGCACAACTCTCTTGGCTGTCCTCCTCCGGGCTTGGTCCAGCCCATTGCTGTGACAGCAACCTCAGATCCCACCAACTGCCCACGATGCCATAGGGGGAACATGAAGCATCCAGAAGGCCCTCTGTCCTGGATAGTACTTATTCAGACCAGGAGGATGGAGGAACCAGTGAAGGGGAAGGAGAGGGCAGCAGAGAGGACCAGAGTGCCTCGACACTGGAGAAAGAGGACGAGGTGGAAGAAGGAGGGCGGCTGAAGCTCTGCAGTGACATGTGGCGAGAAGTGAGGGTCAAGCTCCGAGTGATTGTGGACAGCAAGTATTTCAACCGTGGGATCATGATTGCAATCCTAGTGAACACTATCAGCATGGGCATCGAGCACCATGAACAGGTAAGGCACCTCAGGGCACAAAGTGGGAAATGTGGACTGGTGAGTCCTGCTGGGGGTTATGGCCTTGCTAAGCAGCTGATGCAACTCGGTGGAGGCAGAGATTGAGCAATTTGGACCCCAGACTGCAGCACAGATGGTCCCAGCATGGCTTTGGAGAAAGCCTCAGGATCTTACAGGGTCTCTCACTTCCTTATTCCTACACTTAATCACTTTCACTGTCTCCGTGTATTTTCTTCTCACCTCTTTTCGATCCCTCTCTTTTCCTTCTCTCTGCTCACTCATCCCTCTGTTTTTCTTTTTTTGTTCTATCTTCTCTTTCCATCTGCATCTCTCTCCTTCACCCTCATCTCTTCCATCTTCCCCATTTCTCTCACTCATTTTTCTCTTCATGAGCTTACTGAATCCTTAGTCTATTTGGTTAATTTAATGTGCCCTCTAGGGATGTCACAGACACTTCACCAGCATCTCAATTCAAATCCATCAGCTTGCTAGCCTTCCCAACTTAATTAAGAGGTGCCTGAGCATATTCTATCTGTACAAGAAAGCTAGGAAAGGCACCACCTCCCGTCTTCAGTTATGTTGGGGGTGCAGGCAGCTTGAGCCTTTCCTTTGCCCTGTGAGTAAGAAGCGATAGGTAGGTCAGGCACAAACAGCAGGTGTGGGCACAGGTTTGATTTTCACGCCAGTCGTTTGTAGGCAGCTCTGAATCAGTCATGCACTTTATCCTAATGACAGGTTTGTGAGATGGAGAAAAATTGTGTGCCCTTACTTTATAGCTGGGAAACAGAAAGTGTGTCTACTTTGTGGTGTGCAGAGCCAACTTCAGAGGGTGTTAAATGTGTCCATGACCTTGGATCTGCATTGCTATTGGGTAACTCTGCCGCATTTTGCATTAAAAGAGTCCATGCTGTACATCCATGTCTTAGATCTATGCTGCCAGTCTGAATGCAACCATGGTTTGCTCCATGTGTTTGCCCAAAACACAAAAATAAGAGATCGCTGCACTATTGAGATGCTGACTGTATTGAAACTTTGCAGCCAGGGTGAAGTCTAGTCCCAAACACAGTCTTACACAGCAGAGACACACAGTGTGCCTGGTTCAAGCAAGGCACCCAGATTTGTCCTGTGCTGTATCAGGATGGAGATATCTTGAGACTCGGTGTCTCTTAAATTCCCTGTTTGAGGCAACACGGTGTGTAAGCCAGTATTTGAAGCCTCAGATGTCTGGATCCCACCCACGTACCAAGCTTTAGACCATTTTTCAAAGCCCAGCTAGTTTCTGATACAAGGATGGGAAACCTTAATTTGATCCCAGAACGCAAAATTGTGCTGGATGCTTCAGTAACAGAAAAATACTGGCAGGAGCTCAGAAGAAAGGAGAATGAAGAAGAGGCTGGAGGGGTTGACTCATGGAAATAGATAAAAAAGAGCAATGTATTTATCACGTAGCAGAGAGATGACTAAGGGCTGGAGCCCAGGACAACTTGAAAACTGCCCACTAGTGTTTTAAAGATGTGAACACTAAGCATTGTTCATTCTGATTTATTGGAGACAGCGTGAATTAACAGTTTAACAGAAGAATATTAGAGCTGGAGGTAGAGAATTCACTCTCATCTTCTGGCTATTGTATGTGCAGATTTAAGCCCTTCTAGGATGCCTCTGCTGTGTTTGTACAGCCTGCAGCAGAGTGGGATCTGCCTCTACAGCCTTGGGGTTTCTAGTAGCAGGTTTTTAATGACACGTCCTTAAAATTATGCTATCACTTTTTATCCATAAGTAGCTAGGAAAAGCTTGTGACCCTGCATGCTGTTTCTACTAGAAGAGATGTCAGTCAAACTGATCATAACTGAAAAATATGGTGCAGTCTGTTTATTTAAAACGTGTGTACTGAATTCTGTTTCCCTGGCACAAGAATATTGAGACCATACCATGAATTTCAGGTCCTTTTCAGTCAGCAGTTAGCTCAGAAGCACACAGACGTTTCTCCTTCTCTTTGCTCTCTTTCAGTTTTTCTCAAACCGTGCTATGAGTACATCTCAGGCTGGTACTTCGTTGCCTCAGCATTCATATGAATGTCTTCTGGCCCAGAGCTAAGGCATATAGAGACCTCTTGAGCTTTTATTTTCTGATGCTGGGAGATCACAACCCCAGCCACCCTCTGGGGTCATATCTGGCTGGGCAGGATGTGTGAAGGTATCACAGGTTGGAGCAGACATGGGAGCAGCTCATGGCATGTGCATCAGCTCCTTGATGCTCCACTTTTTCATGGCCTGTTCACAGGTGAGCTGACCAAAGCACAGGTCAAGGGGTGAGAGGGACTGCAGGAGTGAGGCACGAGGTTCAGGCTCAGAAACACAGGAACCCGAGTGACAGAGCCCATGTGTGAGTCTCACCTTCAATTCCCAAGTCTTGACCACCAGACAGAAAAACATTAATTAAAACTATTTGTTTGTTACAGTCCAGGGACTTAATATTCACAGTGTTTTTCTTCAAGGAGACTTGACAACTCAAACAACTTTACATAGATTCAGATCACTTTGGAATTAGGCTTTGTTTATCTTATTCATCTAATCATTTTTCCTGTCCTGATTGTGTGGCCAAGGCAGCCTCCCACCTCCTTATATATTTCTTGTGAGGGAAATCAACTAATTTTGAGAGAAACTGCATTGCTATGAGTCATTTTTAATCCATGAGCTTATCATAAGTTATCACTTGTAAATAGGTAAGTTTATTCAAATCCATCAGTGTGCAATATACCATGTAATATTCACAGTATTAGGCCTTCAGATATTGCTGAGACATTGCCTAAACCCATCATTTCAAGCCTCATCCTGCTTGAAATAGTTTTTGCAGTTCTTCAGATCTGCTTCTATTTGGAAGGGTCTATTTTTAAAATCCAGTGTAGAAAATATTAGGTTCTTGTGGCTGTCCAGAAGGATCCTTTTAAGAGGCTTACTTTTTTTAAATATTCACAGTGGAGCTGGTGCTGCCCACTTTTCTCCCTTATTCACCATGAGGATGAAAGGCTGGTCCCAGCTGAATGTCCCAGGCTGCCTTCCACATCATGTCTTTCTTGAATGGCCTGTTGGACTCAAACCTCTTTGCCATTAGCAGCCATTTTAGACAATTGCTGAGTAACTTGGTTTGTCTTCTCCAGTGTCTACTAACAGTTTTCCTTCATACATCAGATCAATACTTTATGAGGTCCGTCTGTGTGGATCAGATGATGATCCCTTGTTTCCTAACTAGACCTGCACTGTGGATCAGTATTTTCATATCCTTTAGCTTGTGTGATTTCCCTTTATACCAGCATTTATTGCATTCACTAGTTCATATTTTACAGTTATTGCTTCTCTTTTTACTATTTGCTGCTTGTCAGAAACATTCAGCAAATGTCCAAGCCAGCTCATCATACTGACATTTAGTAAATGATAGAACAGTCTCCCAGGGTAGTAGATGAAACCACATTAATTCAGTCTTGTAAAACTAGGGCGTAACAGGCCATCATGAAATCCTGCATTGGTTGTGGGGTGGTGTTCAAACTACGTAAAAGCTGGTTGGTATGTTCCATGGCTGATCTCTATGGCTCTTCTAATTATTGTCTAGTGACTTAGAAATTGTGAGTAAAAATAGGCTGGAGAGACCCCTTTATGGAATATCTTTTTCTGGTGTTCTCAGAGGCAGTGGTGTGCAGGTGCTGTTTGGTAGGGTTGGTCTGCATAGATCACATCAATTACTATTCAGTTTCTAGACAGATGCAAATGTACTCCTGGTTAGGATAAACTTTTCCTGCAGGGGCTTCCTGGTGATCTACATCTTCTTAACCTTTCCTGTGGTGCAGGACTTTCTGGCTGTTGTCAGATAATGGACTCATTACATTTTCAGCCTGATCTGACAAAAGAACTCCAAAGTTAGTAAGAAGCTGAAAAAGAGGAAAAAGCTGAGCTGCTGCCCTCTATTGCCCCAGTTCTAGTTTCTGATAACTGGACAAGTATTCTGAAGTAAATCTGAATCAAATATTTCACTCTCAGTATTTGATCTACATTGTTAGAGATGAAAGAATTCATGGCCTGAAGATGTGAATTGGATAGTTTCATGGATGGGGAAAGAGATCTGTACACAGAGTAAGTGAACCATTCTGGTTCAAACACTGGCTCTGGGCATCCTTTGTCTCTGGGATCTCTCTCTGCTTCAAGCCACCCTCCTTACCTCAATACTCAGCTCCCACTGCTTTGTTCCCAACACTTTAAGTATGATGAGTTAATCAATCTATACTGTCTTGGTAATACGAACAGACTGCTTGTGGGGAGATTTCTGGTGTTCTTTGTTTTTTCTTGGACTAAAATAGCCTTGAGTTCAGGCCTCTCCTTGTGGACGCTTCAATTTACAGTTCCTAGGTAAACCTGGGAGGAGGAAGGCTTGCTAAGGGTTTTGATGACAAATGCCTCAGTGTTGTGTGTGGGAGCTTGGGGAGCCCTCACAACTGTGAGGTGACACATCCACTGTGTTGGAGATACTGTATGTCAGTAGGAAGAAAAGGAGAGAAGCACTTTTTCCTTGTTCATTTGTCTCTTCATCAAGTTTGCACTTCTCTGGCCAGAGAAGAGTCCTCTGGACCAGCAGTGTTCCAGCCACCCACCTCATCCATTGTCTCTCACAGCCACACTGACCCAGGAACAAGGGCATCCCCACACAGGACACAACCCCTGGTGGCCCCCACCCTGCAGCACTGGCTCCCAGCTGATGGCTCTTTACACTCTGTCAAATTACTGTATCTCCAGAAACAACTGCAGTGCTGGATCTGCCCTTAGACAGTGCTTCTCCAGCTGGCTCCTCTCTTTATCTCCTCTTTTTTTCCTGAGTTCATTTCTTTTGTGTTGCTCTTCCTTCCTCAGCCTTTATTTCTTTCCTACTCCATTTAAAACATATCTTTTCTTCTCTACTTATTGTGGGTGCCAGTGAGTTTATTTTTTTAGCCTTGTTTTCTGATTTCTCTTTTGCTGATTTTCTCTCTGCCTATCTCTTCTTTCCTTCTCTGCCCAGTTTTTCCTGTCCCTTTCTCTAGGAAGGATGCTTTTCTGAGGCTGATTGATGGCCCATTAGAAACAGATTGCAGATGAGGCTTGACTAAAGAAACAGATGTTAAGGAGGGAAGGAGTGACAGAGGAACAGGTGACCTTTTCCACAGGCAAATGCAAGCATGGCTTTTCAAACATCAGTTACTCACTACAAAGCACAGGAGAGAATGTATGGAAAGCAGAGAGGAGGAAAATCCACCATCATAACCTGAGCTCTGGGCATGCTTTGCCTCTGGGGTCTCTCTCCCCTTCAAGCCACCCTCCTCACCCCAATATTCAGCTCACACAGTTTTATTCAAGTGACACTCCAAGTGTGGTGGGTAAATCAACCATCATAACCCGTTGCTTTTTTACATTGCTCATTTTCACTGACATAATCATTTGATTCAGACTGAAATTGGCATCTCTGTTTAGCATATACACCTCATGTTCTCGGCAAGTGTCATTTACTGCCTGAGTCTCCGTGCAGTAATCTTCATCTCTCCCTTCCCACGTGCACTTGCTCATTCTTTCTCTCTTCACTCGTCTCCCCTCCTTTCCATGTAATTTTTAGGATGATTTTGTTATTCAGATGTAATTATGGATGGAAATGGAGCCATCTCCCCTTTTTTCATTTTAAAGAGGTGGACTAAGAAGCTGCAACGAGGAGTGCAAGAAATTAGCAAAGGGCATGGGAAACCATAAATGTGAGGAGCAGATTCTAGTTCATTTGCTCACCTGGGAGGATCTGGGCCCATGGGAGCCTCAGAGCAGGACTTAAAGCAGCCCCCAGCTTCAGGCAGAGGGTCAGAACCAGAACTGACCGCCCTAGCAGTCTTATGCAGTCTGAAGGCTATGGGTTGTCTAGCCTGGCCCCAAGATCCAACCTTTTACCCTGGGAGGAATTTCTTTCTTACTCTGGCAATATTTTGTACCTTGCCGTTGTTGTGGTAGTCTTCTGGGCTATGTATGTGTGTGTCTGAGTATGTGCACACGTGGGCAGACTTGCACGTCTCACCCCTCATGCATCTGGTCTTGTGTGAGACCTCAGCCCTTGCTGTTTTGCCTGGTGCAGTCTTAGTCCCTGGGTGAGAGGTGCTTTGAGCCAATAAGTCCATCCCAAAATCAGTGCAGGAGATGCCTCCATTTCACAGGGGATGGCAGGTCCCTGGCATCCCTTGTCAATGATATTAGCACAGCCTCTACCTCCCACGTTTCATCATTCCTGAGGAAATGGTCTAGACCCTTTCCTGACCTTGTAAGAGAAGTTTCCAAGGCTGCACACACACTGAAGAAAAGGCCATTAATTCGGAAAACAAAAGGAGGAGTAATTTAATTTGTTCAGACTTGTTCCACTGATGGAATCATTAAAACACTTTCTCTCATACACAAAAACACACCTATCTCTGCTGGGGAAGACAGAGAATGAAAGTTTTATCAGAGATTTAACAGAAAAAAATTCCCAACTCAGGGTCGGATTGCTTTTTTTTTTCTTTCAACAGTCAACTTGTGTCATCCTTGGAATTTTTCACCTTGTGCACGTGTCTTTCTCCTCTTGCTGTCCATTTTTTCTCTTTTCTTCATCCTGTCCTCCTCTTCCTGTCCCTTGCAGGTATGTTTTTATCAGTGTGCCCCTCCTCGCTGTTGTGTTACTCATTTAGTTCACTATTCACTTAGGTAATTATTGAGGCCACTCTGAGGATAGAGGCATCAGAAAAGACTGATGGAACAAGATCATGAAACTAATGCGTACCAGGGATTTGGTGGGGAGAGAAAAATGGGGAAGTGAAAAAATAGAGGGGATAGGACCAAATAAGTGAGATTTGGAGGAAGACGGGGAATTGTTTTCCTGTTATTCAAACATTTTCAGAATCTGCAAAAAAATGTGCCAACTTCCTACAGAAACCTGAGAGTACAAAATTCTTGAAGGAAGAGGTTGATGGCAAATCAGCCACTTTTGCCCTGCTTCAAAAATACTCAAGTTCTTTGCAAAAAATAAAGCAACTTTAACTGGTTTAATGGGATATGAAGGGGAATGTGGGAGATGCTTGGTCAGCCTTGTCTGTGTGAATGGCTGTGGGGCTCCTGACCACCTCTAGTAAAGAAATTTTTTAGGGACATAATCCATGTTGAAGGTAGTAAAAGTTCAAAGGAACTGGAGTGCAAGTGGCTCTATTCAGCTCCACTTCAATCTCACCAATGGAAGCTTTGCAGCTTCCCACAAACCCTGTATTCTGGAAAGGGGAGCATTTTGTTTCCTATAATTTTGGACTCTTTCAGTTCTGACTCTCTGAATTTGTGTTCTCTCCAGCCAGAGGAACTGACCAACATCTTGGAGATCAGCAATGTGGTCTTTACGAGCATGTTTGCTCTGGAGATGATCCTGAAACTCGCTGCTTTTGGTCTCTTTGATTACCTTCGCAACCCCTACAACATCTTCGACAGTATCATCGTCATCATCAGGTGACCAGGGCCTTGGGGATCAACTGAAATAGACATAGAAAAGCATACCACAGAGCTTGGACACTTTTCAAAAAAGGATTTAGCAGCTATTCTAGGAGGATCTGAGCTGAGCCCAAGACCAAGGACTGGGAGACCAAGCTGTCTTTTCCCAACACTCGATGTTGGTGCAACACAAGCTACAGAGCATTTCTGTCCCTCAGTTCTCTCCTCTCTAGAATGGAGACAACTGCAGCTACCTTGTTAAGTCCACAACAAATATGAGCTGTGAAATATTTTTAAAATGCACAAACAGAGGAAGCTACAAAGGTTTAATGTACGATAGAAGAACTTGTCTTGCTGGAATTAAAAGCTGAAATCCCTTCCTCATTCCTGCAAGATGCAGTGCCTCATTCATGTTCTTAAGGCATAAATGCAGCTTTATATGCATAAGTAAAAACCTATACCATATATTTCTGTCTTGCTCAGACAGATTTTCTCTCTCACCTCTTTATACTGCCAGTGCAGATGTGAAAACAACATTGTTACTCCTCACTCTTTTCTGTTTGTTCACTTGTCTTTCATTTTGTCCCTCATGCCCCCTGTGCCTCTCCGGACCACAGCATTTGGGAGATCATTGGCCAGTCAGATGGGGGCCTCTCTGTGCTGAGGACTTTCCGCCTCCTTCGGGTCCTGAAGCTGGTGCGTTTCATGCCTGCTCTACGCCGCCAGCTTGTGGTGCTGATGAAGACTATGGACAACGTAGCCACCTTCTGCATGCTCCTCATGCTCTTCATCTTTATATTCAGGTGAGGAGGCAATTAGTTGGTTCATAGTGTTTCAGGGTGGCACTGCATGGCTCATGGGGATGGAGCTTCAGAGCGTGACTGTGTAACTCATCTGGCCTGTTGCTCTGTAGGCTAAGGCAGCACTGACAACCATTTGTTTGTCCATAAGGGCTGAACTTACTCCTGCACTAAACTGGGTTCAGTAGCTGAAGATTTTGGCCTGGATAGGGTGTCAAAATAGTGTCACCAAATGTGGATGTTGACCATAATGTCCCTTTGCAGGATAGGTCAAGTCTCTAGGTAACCAACACTGGCTACAGAGAACAGTTCAGTCTGGAGGCTGACTTTAGCAGAAGGGCAGCAGGAAGCAACCAAGAAAGTTTGTCTGTGCATCCCATTGATGCACTGATAACAAGATGAAGAAATATGATGGCAAACAAAAACAATAGAGAGAACAGATCTGAATGACAGGTTGGGGGTAATATGTGAACTCTGAGCGAGCACAGGTGGAAATCAAATTTTTTGGTGAGCTACAAGGGTGCAATATGCAGTTCCTTCTTCACAGGTAGATCCTAGTAGTCTGACTGTGTTGTCGTACTCCTTGCTGCTGTGATGTTACATTAGATTTTCATGAGAAAAAAGAGAATTACTCTGATGAGCTCATTGTAGTAGCAGAGATATTTATATTTGACACCATCTCCACTTCTTGTCCGAAAGCATCCTGGGAATGCACATCTTTGGTTGCAAGTTCAGCCTCAGGACAGACACAGGAGATACAGTTCCTGACAGAAAGAATTTTGACTCCTTACTTTGGGCCATCGTCACTGTCTTCCAGGTGAGCCCACTTTGCTTTCTATGGGTGGGCCAGGGCAAAGCGAAGAGGATCAGGAGATGCTTTTTCTTCATTGCAGAGCACTGCAGTCACTCCTGACAGCACAAAAAGCTGCATAAAAGAGACTGTCGTGATATTTGAAGCAAGAACAATTGCATATTGAAGCCAAACAACTGGTGTATATCTCTTACAGGGGAGCTCTTTCGTTCGCAGGGGACAGTCTGCAAAGGTCACTCCTGTTGTGGCAACTTCCGAGTTTAACGCTATCATCTCAGCACTGCCCTAATGGTTCTCATTTCCTCTTGCTCAGCTAATGTTTTTGGCACAGAACCACAGCTGGATGATGAGAGTGGGTGTGTGGTTATGGGGAAGTTAAGAGGCCTGATGTGTTCCTGATGTGCCTTCACTGTCCTTTTCTGGGAACCCCCTTCGTGGTCTTCCTTCACGTTTATCCAACCTCTCTTCTGGTTGCAGATCCTAACCCAGGAGGACTGGAATGTTGTACTCTATAACGGCATGGCCTCCACCTCGCCCTGGGCTTCCCTCTACTTTGTGGCTCTCATGACATTTGGCAATTATGTACTTTTCAATCTGCTGGTGGCCATTCTTGTGGAGGGGTTCCAAGCTGAGGTAAGTTGCCACCAAGGCCTCATCAGGAGGAGGAATAGAGGTGCTAAAAAGGTAAACTTTGGGACATTTTGAGGATACTGGACTGGATGACTTCCAAAGTATCACACCTCTGTCATTTCACTCCTGAAGTTAGGGTGCTCTTTAATGAAAAAAAAAAAAAAAGAAAAGAAAGAAAGAAAAGAAAAAAAACTCTCTGAAAGGGAATTCACAGTTTCTATCCTGTGTACTGCAACAGCCCCTACCCTATAGCAAGTCTTTTACCCCTCCATAACCAAGAATGCAGTACATCAGCCACCCCAAATCACACAAGATTCTTTCCAGTGATCACGCTGGATGCCTGACTGCCAGGGACAATTTTGCAGTTGTTCCAGCAATGAAAGACAAAAACAAATGGTCTTTTCTGTTTGAGTTCCCAAATTCTAAATTTGTGTGTTACAGGGTGATGCCAACCGGTCATACTCAGATGAAGACCAGAGTTCATCAAACATGGACGAGTTTGATCGGTTTCAAGAGGTCCAGGAAGGCCCAGGTACAAAAGTCTTACTTGCTTATATCATCTTGCTGTTTGGTGAGAAATCTAAAAAACAGATTCTGCAGAAAATTCACTCTCCAAGAACTTGCCAGTTTTCATTTTGAATTTTATGGTAAATTGTGTTGCTCTCTGTGGAAAAACTAGAGACATGTTGGCATCCTGAGGAATGTGGGAGCTAAGTGGAGTAGTTCTTGAATGACCTCCAGAATGGCAAGTGGAAGTCAGAAGTGAGACTGTCTCTGCTTAGCTTCAAGGTCATTATTTCAGGAACACAGTGTCCTAATATGGGACCCACATTTGCAGAGGGGATACCTAGACATTAAAAAGGACTCAGGTGAGTCTGGAAGTCTTGCCTCAGCAAGAGAGTAATGAAGCTTAGAGAAACCAGAGAAGTGACTTGATCACTCGCTCTGTAATTGTAGACCATAAGGAGAGATTTCTGATGGTAGATAGCTCTTTAATTGAGCAGAAAAAAGCATAATGAGATTGTAAAGGTTGGAAGCTTAAGCTAGACAAATTCAGGCTGAAAAAACCTGCATATTTGCAAGGAAAGATAATTAACAGTTGGAACAGTCTGCCTACAAACTGCCTAGTAAGGTCTTCATCCCTCAAAGTCTTTCCACAAGAGGTATTATACTTCAGACAGGACTTGGTGGCAGGGAACAGCTTGCTCTGCAATGGGTGGTGAGCCAGGAGCTGAAGGGGATAGAGAGCCAGGCAGGAGGGCAGGGACCCCACCAACAAGGTGAGCAGAGCTGGTCTGACACTAGCAAGGGTCAACCAATGGATCAGTGATTACCAGGCAAATCCACAGTGGTGAGGCAGGTCTGAGATCAAACCAAGAAGTCCAGTCAGTAAGGCAAGATCAGGATCAGAAAGAGGCAAAGAGCAGGCACAAACATACTCACAGCATAACCCAGACATGTGCCACAGGCTCATGTCTGAGCTTAAATGCAGCTCCCACAACAGGGACCAGTGGCTGCAGTATTGACTTGTCCCAGCTTTTTTTCCTGCAACTTAGCTCTTTTCAAGGCAGTCCAGTCCTGAGTTACATGGCTGCACCATATCAGAGCTTGTGTTGAATGTAGGCAGTAAAAACCCCTGAGATAGAAGAGGTTACAGAGGTGTTGGTGCAGTCATGGCTGTGATGCAGATATGGATAGGTGACCTTCATTATACAATAGTCAAGCAAAAATTATTTTTCCAGTCCTTTCAGGCATTAAAATTCAAACCCTGTCCTCTCCATGCAGCACAACGAATGCTGATGGTCATCTACAGCACCTACCATATCCCTCAAAATGTCTTGGATCTTCAAGGTCAATAATCAGTCACTTGAAGAAGCACAGTGTAGTAGGATAGACTGGGTTGCAGTTTTTGTGTGCAGTATGATTGCAGGAATTTTAAGGTGACTCCAGTACATGGATGGCTGGGGCTATCCCTACATCTTAGTCTTGTTCTCAGTGTTTCAGCCTAACTGCTTTAAGTAGCCAGCCTGACAGTTGGTGGTATTTGTTCACACTGTGAAGATGCTGTTGCCTCATCTTGGCATGCAAGACACCCTTGTCCTCTTGTTGCCAGGATTCAACTTCTTGCTCTGTCTGTTAGCCTGAGGCTGCCTGACCACCACTCTGCTGGTCTGTCTGTCCCCAGGGAGAGCTTGCAGTCTGTTTTGGAGACCGAGGAGATTACTTTAAAGTCTTCCCAGCTTGCACTGCTTTTGTCACAACATCCTAAATCAGGGCAATTGTTGCTGATTGATGCTAAAGAGCTAATATTCTGTTAGCTGCTGTTAACATGGTAAACCGCTTAGACATCAAAGCAGTCATTGCATAGTGAGGAACCCACCTTTTTCTTTTCTCATTCTTCTTTCTGTATCTTTCCACTCAGATCCCAAGCTCTGTGCAATTCCTGTAACACCTAATGGACACTTGGACCCATCCTTGCCCTCTTCCAACCCACCAGTGGCTGCTGGAGGGGTCACCAATTCTTCACGCAACTCCCTACAACTTGACCAGATCCTCGTTGCTGTTGGATCCCGGAAGAGCAGTGTGATGTCCCTGGGGAGAATGACCTATGACCAGCGGTCCTTGGTGAGTGAGTGAGTATAAATGTGTGTCGTGCCCTTCTTTTGAAGGCCAAGCACTTTGTTATCTTTCTGTCATCATCTGGAGATTGCTGTGAAGGATGTCACTGCTACTGCAGGCTTCTAACACAGGTTAATTGCCTGTCTTTAGAATCCAGATCAGTTCACATTACTTATCTAAATTTCCAGATTTTTGAAGTCTGTTTCCAGGTTACTTACTTGTATTCCATTGAGTGTGGGATTCCATTCTCTCTATCTTTCCCCCTCTCTCTTGCTCTCTCTCTTTCAGTATCTATAGACATATATATCTATATTCCACTGAGTGTGAGAAAGGGAAAACACCAAGAAGACAATCTCCCTCTTAGAGTGGAACACCTTCTGTCCCCTTCCCCTTTCTTTGTTTTCCTCTAGTGCAGGACACAAAATGATGCCTTGAGTGAGTTAAGAGCATAGAAATTATCTAGGTAACACCTAGTCCCATTACAGGTGGGTTTTCTGTGAACTTCTAACAATGAAAAGAAAAACCTTGATTTGGAGCTCCCCATAGCAGATCCTGCTGCCCCATGGCACTTCCCCAAACACTGCAGGCTTTGTAACCAGTGCATCTCAGACCTGTCCACCTTGTCACATTAGCTTCTGGGCTCTCTACCCGCTGATGTACAACAGCTCTAGGGGGTGCATCAGTGCTTCATACCCCTGTTATTTCTAAACAGGAAGAGCGAGCAGCCACGTACTACATGATAAGTTACTTATGTGGTTGGACTAGACTGTAACCAACAAGCCTGTTTCTCTCATTTCTTCCTTTTACTAAGACTGTACTCAAAAGACAGTGTGTCAGATTATCCATCACCCAGTACCTTGTGTTATTCTTTACCCCAGGGCAGTGTAAAAAGCTGCCAATCAGATTTTTTGAGAGCTTTATTCTTGCTCTGTGCTGGTGTAAGCAACAACATCAGGCACCTGGCCTTTGGCTTTATTACTTACCTTCCCCAAAAGTGCTTTGCACACAGATGGTGCTATAAAGTAATCACAGCCAAAACCATTGCTAATTCATTATCAATTTATTGTCAGATTTACAGAGATTGCTGCTAAATTCCCACCATGCAACTTGCTCAACATCTGATAAATGGCAACCTTCTGGCTTAGGGGCCCAGGGAGAAGTCTGTGATCTGAAACAGCATCACATACTCTCTCCTTGTGCCCACAGTCACTGTGTCTCCATCCCACTCTTACAGTCCAGTTCCCGCAGCTCCCACTATGGTGCCTGGAGCCGCAGCGGAGCCTGGGGGAGCCGTCGCTCCAGCTGGAACAGCCTGGCCCGGGGACACAGCCTGAAACACAAACATCCCTCAGCCGAGCATGAGTCCCTCCTGCCTGGGGAAACTCACAGGGCAGCAGATGGGGAGACGGATGGGACAGGAAGGGTGTTGCATCACCGCCGGACACTCTCTCTGGATAATAAAGGCTCCTGTGACCTGCTGGAGTTGGCCTCGGTCCCATCTGGCCATAGAGTGACCCATAAGCTGGGAGCACCGCCTGGGGCCAGTGAGCATCAGGACTGCAATGGCAAAATGCCCAGTATTGTCAAGGAGATCTTCCCAAATATGAACAATCGCAAGGAGCGGGGAGAGGATGATGAAGAGATAGATTATGTGAGTATTTCATGGAGGGAACATGGGGTTACACCACAGCACTGTGGGAAACTCCAAATCCATCCTCAAGTTTCAGTCTCCTCATGTGTGGATGAGAGAGCTTGCCAAGATGCTTTAGGAGAGCTGGAGGATGGCGCTGAGTGCAGATGGGACCTTCTTGTCACAGACGAGCTCAAAGCACATTGTCAGGCTGCCTGCAAGGCAACTGTACAGGTGGATGGTGGGAGGAAGGCAGATGTGAGACATGCACGTGGTCATTTCGGGACTGTTATTTGATTGCAGCCAGTGATTTCTACAGGATAGGAGAAATCAGGTTGTGTGAGCAGGGGGAGCTTTGCATGGGGAGCATCAGCAGACCAGAGCAGGAAGCACAGGCACCAGAGACAAGGCAAGGGATTTTTGCAATGCCAGTGTGGGAGACAGCAACACTCAATGTGTCAGCAGATCAAAGGGTGGAAAAAGTGGAGCCAGGGTCAGTAGAAATTTTGGACAGATGTATATGCTGTATGAAATTCCAAGCCCAGGTGCCAAAATAAGGCCTTTTTGTCCTGGCTTCTCATTTAGCTGAGGTAGGGAGGTAACATTGTCCTCATGTAACAAAGAATCTCCAAGAACTCTGAGAAGGTGTCTTGGACAACATCCTGATCTAGAAGGGACGCCAGCAGTTTTATTTGTCATGATCTGGGGGAGAAAGGGGAGAAACCAGACACCAAGGGGTAAATAGGCCCTAGCAAAGCAGCTTCTACCTTCTTTTCCATGACTTGTTGCCTTTGAGTTGATTTCCTCATTCAGGGGCTTAAAGGCAGGTAGTACACCTGGCAGACTGCAGGTAGTGATGTTTCTGGGTAAGATGCAAAAGGAAGAGTGTCTCTCTCAGGTAAATGAGAACGTAACCAGAGGCACTTGCTTCTTTTGCACCCCTACAGAGCCTGTGCTTTCGCATCCGGAAGATGATAGAAGTCTATAAGCCAGACTGGTGTGAGTTACGGGAAGACTGGTCCATATATCTCTTCTCTCCACAAAACAGGTTTGTGCAGTTTTTGCCATGAGAAGGTTGAAAAGATGGGGCAGATTCTCTTGCTGTGCTGGCCACATCCTCTGATGTTAGGTTGTGACTTCAAACTTACCAGCTGGGAAGTGTTTTCTCTGCCACTGTTGGTTCTACAGCCAAACAACTTTTCCTAGATTCTGGAGATGAAACGAAGGTTGAGCATTCTAAATAGCTATTATGATCTTCCCTCCCTTTGGAGCATCCTAATTTTATTTTGTGTAATAAATATTTATAGCAAAGCAAGGAGGGGAATATTAATGTTAACCCAAAAAGGATAAAGAATGTATTATTAATGACTCCATGATACTGATATTTCCTCCCCTGGTACCAGAACAGTCTCTCCATTTCATTTACAGTCCCGGCACCAATTTATCAGCAGTCATACCGCACCTTTTAGGGTAAAGATAGTATTCTTCTTGCCTAAAAAATGAAAATTTGGTTAAATTCTTCCTGCTAAAGAGGTCTTCCCACCAAGAGAAAATGTCCATGTACCCTGGAGAACAGTATTCTCACCATATGCATCGCCCCTTGAAAAGAAAGGGCTTTCACTGTAGGTCATGAGGGAGAGATTTTTGCTCTGACACCTATGTTAATGTGCACAGTGTCTTTCAGAGTGGACAGAAATGTGGTCCCCATGACCGACAACCTACCTGCCACTCCTCGGCTTTCAACATGTGGCGTCTTTGCCATGGGGAGGTATAAAGTGTAAGTTTGGGAGGAAAACTGAAACATAGCCTCTTCTTTACAAGGCAAGATAGGAGCACGGTCATAATGGTTAGGATGCCCTTGCACTGTTCCAGACTCCCTGTGTGACCATGGACCATCCTGGGATATTGCCATGTCAACAGACATCAGAATTAGTGATAGAAAAGCTGCTGTGTCAGAGTCCAGTTTTGGCCAGAACTCTTAATTCTCTGTCCTCATAGCTCCTAAACTTGCTCTGCCCAAGGCACCGGTGCCTACTGGAACTCTTTTACAGGTTTCGCCTCCTCTGCCAAACCATCATTGCTCACAAGCTCTTCGATCATGTCGTGCTGGCCTTCATCTTCCTGAACTGCATCACAATTGCCCTGGAGAGACCGCAGATTGAGCACAGAAGCACGGTAAGCACAATTACCTGCCACCTCTTTTTTAGCATAACCTCTAAGAGTAGTTCTTAAGCGTTCCCGACATTGGTATGACCTCTGGAGGAACTTCATCATTAAACACCAGCTCCCACTCATTTATTCAAATACCCAAGTATTAGTAATTAATATAGCGTGTGCTTTCCCTGCAGGGTCTTATAATGGGGCAACCTACTTTATAATACAGAAATCCTAGTTCCTTCTGTGTTGGAAAGTAAAAGAGTTCTTCAGGAACCTGCATAGAAGAGTTGAATGGCAAAAGGGACAAGGACTGGGAACTGAAAGATAGAAGTGGCTTCCATCCTGTACAAATGGCATGCCATCATTCATGTATGGTACTCTTGAGCTATTTTGGAGATGGCTCAAGCTGGCAAGTGAAATTACTTTTTCTGCTTGTCTGCCTTAGCTGACTTCCAGATTCCACTGCACTTGGATACAATCTGTGGTCAGTGCTCAGCAGCCCTTTGGGAAGAAGTCCTAGGTCAGTGCAGCAGGTCAGGACTGAGCAGCACTGGTAGAACAGGGCAGAGAGTGCCTTGAAACCAGATTTGCAGATGCATTGCAAATCCCATCCACTATGCTCTTGCAGAGATGCACAGGATCCTGTCCCAGCTGTGGCACAAGGCTGAGCCAAGGTGTATCAGCTGAAAGCTGCCTAGCACTGACCTCAGCCAAGAGCACCTCCCTTATTTCCCCATCTTTCAGGTCTTTCACAGGATTGCAAAAGATATTATCAGAGGGGCCTACCAGAGTAACAAGAAGAAGTCAAGATACATTTAAGGTCTTTATCTGTTTTTTTGTTTTGTTGTTTTGTTTTTTTTCTAGGAGAGGATCTTTCTCACTGTGTCCAACTACATTTTCACAGCAATTTTTGTAGCTGAGATGACACTGAAGGTAAGTTACTGGAGATGGGCAGCTCAGGGCCTTTTTTCAGTGTCAAACAAGGTTTATATTTATAACATTTTTTTAAATGAGATAATTATTCTGTAGGTGTCTAAGAACTTTGCAACAATCAGGAAACCTTGTTATTTCCTTCTTGTGAATGGGAAAGAGCCCTAAAAGTGTGTGCCTGAAGTTAAACCCCTAAAATTCATACCTGAATTTTGGCCATTATTTTCAGGGTGTTAAGCTTTCTCCATGGCCAGAAATTTCAGTAGAACCTGCTGTTTTTGGGAACTACTGACAAAAAAAGCTACTCCTTAGAGCCAAAGTGTGGATTTTGGTGCCTAACTTTACCTCCCAGGTGATCTTTGAACAGGGACACTTGCGCCAGGTCTGTGGTATGGCAGGGAAAGGTTTCCTGCATGTTCCCTGTTACTCAGGGAAACAGAAAAATGGTGAGAAGATACCATGGCCCTGTTATTTCTGGAGTTATGTGCCACCACTTTCCCCAAAGACATTTTCCTTCATAGACATCCAGGTGAAAGGAAAACATTATGAGATGACACTCCAGTGACATGAGAAGCTGATAACTATTCCCCATCTTCCAACTTGCTCCATAGTTGCCCTCTACTGGGTAACATGGAGGAACGATTTTCACGCCCTTCCCTTTCCCCTCTCTTGCAGGTGGTCTCTCTAGGCCTGTATTTTGGGGACCAGGCTTATCTCCGCAGCAGTTGGAACGTCTTGGATGGCTTCTTGGTCTTCGTTTCTCTCATTGACATTGTGGTCTCAGTGGCCTCTGCTGGTGGTGCCAAAATCCTGGGGGTGCTACGAGTTCTCCGGCTGCTGCGCACCTTACGTCCCCTCCGGTCAGAATCCCACCGAGCCCTGCTCAGCCCCCTCTTCCCACTGGTTCTCCCCAGGAAGGGTGCCAGAGTCAGATCCATCTGTGCCAGGCAAAGTAGACACAAGGAGGTCCCCCTTAGCCATATGGGTCTGATGCTAGAGGTACCTCATCAGACAACAAACCCATGGGAAAGAAAAGGCTTTTTGGTTACAAGAGTATCATCTCTACTGATGTGTCACTGCATAAGGAGAACAGGGGCCTGCTGCTGCTGAAAATGCTTAGCTTAGGCCAAATATCCCTGCCCTACCCCTTTATCACTCTTCCCCTTCCTTCCCTTCTAGAGTCATCAGTCGAGCCCCTGGCCTGAAGCTGGTGGTGGAGACACTCATTTCTTCCCTCAAACCCATAGGAAACATTGTCCTCATCTGCTGTGCTTTCTTCATCATCTTTGGCATCCTGGGTGTGCAGGTAAGTTGTTACTGTCCATCAAACAGCCCTTGTATCCCCACCCCTACTACCATGGGCACCTGTACCCCCAGGTCCTACAACAGACATGGGAACCAAGCAGAATAGGAGGGATGGGCAAGCCAGGAAATTTTCTGCACCAGCTTTTCCCCACAAGCTGTCTCCCACATAATGAACCCATAGCCTTTGGCAAGGGCAGACAGGTGCTCAGCAAGTGCAGACATTGTTGGATGTGAGAGAAAGAAGTAGACACTCATATCTGGCAGGAGCTGGCTCAGGGTTTGGGTCAGCATTATAGGGAGAGCCCAGGGCTGGCACAGCACAGGTCTCACTGGGCACATCTGTGTCAGCCCACAAAGCCAAGCAGTTCAGTGCCTGCTTGCACGAACCCTGCCTCCAGTTAGCTCTGTTTCTCCCCCTCACTCTGAACCCTAAATCCACCCACAACCTTCTTTTAATTTTTTATTTAATCCTCTTTATTTTTGGCAGTTGCATTGCAGAGGAGCAAGGGTGTGGGCGTTACTTCCATCTCAGGGAATGTGCTATACTTAGTCTGCTCTGATGCATCTGTACAAATGCACAATCCAGGACCTTCCATATGGGGAAAGGAGCCCTGGGCAGGAGAGCCACAGCAGTGCAGTGCAGTCTTGTCAAAAAAAAAAAAAAAAAAAAAAAGGAGGAGGTAAATGAGAAGAAGAGGATGATTTTTCTGGTTCTTTACCCTCAGATGAGATCTTTTCCCATCAGCACTCTCTGTAACTGGGAAGCAGGGAGGGAAGATTACTCTAGGGGACTGTTTAGAAGATATTTTTCTCTTTGTACCCAGAAAGACTTCCCTAAGGGCTGTTGGATGGTAAGGACTTAAAATCACCACTGACTTGGGGAAGTCAAGGAGGCTGAAAAGCCAGATGTGAGTTTACAAGGGTGGTCCTGGCTCCTTAGCAATGTTTGAGCCTGTGCTCTACATTGTGGTGATGGTGTCCCTGTTGTGCTCCACATGGCTTGTGGTCTTGCAACCACCCAGCATCTTGGGAAGCTTTTGCACATCCCAGGGAGCATGGGGAACCCTGTGGGGAAAGGGGCTGATGAGGTCATTCCCCTCCTGCAGCTCTTCAAGGGCAAGTTCTACCACTGCCTGGGAGTCGACATCAGGAACATCACCAACCGGTCTGACTGCATGGCTGCCAACTACAAGTGGGTACACCACAAGTATAACTTCGACAATCTGGGGCAGGTGAGTATGCCCACAGCCCCTGCCTCTGTCTCTTCCTATACATAGACTCCTCCCCAGGGCACAGATACAGTGCCTGGAAAGCCTGATCCCAGAAGGAGCAATTATTTGGCATGGGTATCCATGCAGAAGCTGTGTCACTAGTGGGTTGGTATCAAGATGATGTTTGCAAGTTTGTAGGGGAAAGAAAAGTTGTAGCAGCAGAGAGCTTGATTTTCTCTTTTCTCCTGCCACGAAGCAGATGGTTTTAACAACCTCTCTCCTCTGCTGAGTCTGGCTGCACATGGCTTCCTGTTACCTCCTCCCTGTTCTCCACATGGGAAGGAGCAGGTTTTGATGTGTGCAGAGACACAGGCAGGAAGAGTATTTCAGTGCTGTGTGTGTTAGACCATAAACGCATGGGTTTTTTCTCCCTGCCTGCCAGATGCACCTGCTCCACATCTGCTTTGCTTTGTATGTTGCAGGCTCTGATGTCCCTCTTTGTTCTGGCTTCCAAGGATGGCTGGGTCAATATTATGTACAATGGACTAGATGCTGTGGCTGTTGACCAGCAGGTACAAAGATTTCCTTGTGAAAGGACCTTTTTCACTTTCCTTGGGCTAGTAAGGCAGATGTATACTTTAACATCCTGCTTCAGATACCTCTCTCAAAGCAAGAGTCCCTTCCAGGGCCCTTCTGAATCCTTTGCTCACCTATCTACAAGAGGTCAGGTCCATGAACTTGCCTAGTTCATGCAGGGAGGTGCAGCTGTGCCTGTTTAGTAGGCGTCTGTAGTAATTCTTACCTTCTACTCAGTTTAGATCTTACAGCAGTCCTTTATCTATTTGTAATGATGGAGCGACAATGCCCTGTGCTTTTCTGAGCACACAGGCTCCCTCCTGGCCCACAGATGGCTATTTTAATGCCTTATAAGGCAGGAGCTGTTGGGCTGCTGCCCACTGCATCCCTATTCCTTTACTGCTAAGACCATGACCAGCTCTGTGTTCCCCCTTCCTCCAGCCGGTGACCAACAACAACCCCTGGATGCTGCTCTACTTCATCTCCTTCCTCCTCATTGTCAGCTTCTTTGTGCTCAACATGTTCGTGGGGGTGGTGGTGGAGAACTTCCACAAGTGCCGGCAGCACCAGGAGGCTGAGGAGGCGCGCCGGCGGGAGGAGAAGCGCCTGCGACGCTTGGAGAAGAAGCGAAGGAGTAAGGCACAGCCTAAGTGTTTGGTTGGTTTGTAGGCCAAGGTTTTCTGAGAAAAACCTTTTCCTCTTCTTTTTCTTTCCTGATGGACTGGTCTCCAAAATACAGGGCTCATGGGCGTGCTCTCAGCCTTCCTCCCTGCACCACTGCCATGCCACTACACACCTCACTAGGGCAGTCTGTGGAAGAGGGGTGGCTGATGAAATCTGCTAGGGCTCCAGGAAAGCCACTGGGGCTTTAGCACCCTGCTCCTCAGGAGATAATGTACCAAAAATACCCCTGTACACATGATGGTGAGCACTGTTGATACAGAGCATGCACACATCAATACACCTCCTGGGCTTGGGATAGTCCTACCTGGGCTTCCTGCAACTCAGCTGGTGATTGAAGGAAGACCTGGACAGACTATCCTTTGTGTTTAACCCCAAATTTAAAGAAGAAGGAGGGGGAAAAAAAAAAAGAGGAAGACCACTGTGTTTTGTTCCTGTTTTTTTACCATCAGTGTTGCAGTGTCACTCCTTGGGATCCCAAATCCTCTGTGGTGAAGGAAACCTTCTTTTCCTGGTGTTTCTGTCCTCTTCTGTGTTACCTTTAGACAAAAATTGCAAAAGTGTACTTGCCCCTGGAAATCATCCCTACTACCCAGACTGATGGTTTTCTTACATTCACAGCCTGTGGGCGTGCTTTCCCTTCCTCTGCTCCAGTTTTTCCCCTCTCTCCCGTGACACCCCAGGGCCTCTTCTTGAACCATCTGCTCCCTTTTATCAGAAGTGATCTTAATTTGTCAGGATATGAAATGCTGATTTAGCACCATCCCCACAAACATAGACTAACAGATTTCCTTTCTAGCATTCCTTTCCTTATCGTTTTTCTACTTATTTTTTCCCCACTTCTTCTTTCCTCTTTTTTTATTTTTTTTTCACATCTCCCCCCACTCCTTCCTATGTCCCTTTTACCTATCCTTTTCTGGTTTTTTTCTCTCCCACCTTCATTCCCTTTTCTTTCAACACCTGTCACTAGTCTTATGCCTTCTCCCTTCTCAGTGTTTCTTACCCATTTCTTTCTTTCTTCCAATTTCTTCCTAACTCTGCCCATATCCCTCTTTCCACTGAAGAGGCGCAGCGTTTGCCGTACTATGCTACCTACTGCCCCATACGCCTCCTTATTCATTCGGTCTGCACCAGCCACTATCTGGACATCTTCATCACTTTCATCATCTGCCTCAACGTGGTCACCATGTCCTTGGAGCACTACAACCAACCTGTGGTGAGTGAGATCATGGAGATAAGCCCTGCCTCTAGACATTATGTTACTTTGCTACAACTCTCTGATGACCAGCATAAGTACAACACTTGAGTGGCTCTAAAAGCTCCTGTTAAAATTTTGTAAGATTTACTGTAGTAGTCAAAGTTGGGTTCCTACTCAGACACTTGTTATCCATTAAAATCAATAGAGGGAAGGCATCTAAGCAGGAGTCAGGCCCCTAGAAAGCATGGTGCAATTAAGTCTCTGTGCTTTATATTAGTAAGTGGATATGTGGGTCACCCAAATTTAGCTCCCTGCTCTGCTTTTTATGTTCCCCTGGATCCTAATAGGAGTAGTGAAGCAGCAGTGTCCTCGGAGCTTCAGGCTTTGCATCACATTTCCAAATATCAGTCCAATTCCCCTGCCATATGGCCTGAGCTGAAAAAACTAGAGTGGCTGGTTGTGCGTCATGGGATGGGATGTCTTTACCAAGCCACCTTTTTTTAGTAAGAGAAGCTGCAGGGCCAAAGTGCTGAGTAGAGTCTCTCTCAGCTGCAGAGGATGATTTCCAATACAGCACCTTGGAGGCCAAATAAGTTTTACCCTTTGACTGGGGAAGACCATGTACCTCTCAGTGTTCCTGGCAAAGCTCTAGATACCTTTGATGGAAACAATGTATGCTGCACATATCAAAGGAGCCTTCTGCCTCCATATGTAGAAAAAGCATTCATCATGACATCAACCCAGTGGTATTTCAGTTTGGTTTAGGCTGACAGCTCTGGTGTCTGAACAGGTTGTCCGAGGTAGCTCAGTCTTTGAGCAGGAGCTGAATCTGTCTGTCCTCATTCAAATCTACCACCAGGCTCCTCTGTTTCTTACCTATCTTGCCCAGCTGCCCAGCTTTTATCTTGCCCTTGATGGTGCCCAGTTTTACCTTGCAGGAACCCTCAACTTTTATCTGTTGGCATCCTCACATTAGGCCTTTGTTCCTGAACAAGTCACTCCTCTTCCTTACTCCTCAACTTCTTTCCCTGGAACACAGGTCTAGCCACGCCAGCCTGTTGTCAGGCTCTGTTAAACAATGTTCTTAAAGCTCTTCAAACCCTTCCAGTACAAAATGCCACTGAATGTTGCCCACCACTCACACTGATGGTGGAGAAGGGGCAGCATGTAAAAGAACCGAAAGCCAGTCAGCTCAGAGGTGTGACATATGCTGGCTCCAGACAAGGCTCAGCAGGGTTTCCTCCAGTCAGAGATGACCTGTATCCACAACTGGAGTAACCTTTATTCTTCACTCCTGGTTGACAGCTATGCCAGTGCCACTAACAAGGTGTCATCCAGGTGGCACAGGCTACTGGCAGAAGAGAAGGCTGATGGTATTTTGTGGATTCTTCTTGCAGTAGCCCCCTCCTCCCCATTATGCTGAACAGTACAGGAGAAAGGATCCTGATAAGAACATGGGGAAGAGGGGCCAGCTGGTGATTGCTCTTAGTAGGCAGCCTCCACATTCAAGTAGGTAGGAAGCATGGGATAGCTTCCCCACCTCACAGTGAATACCTGGCACTTAGGAGAGTCCCTGTGCAGAAGAGGTTTGTGCTTGATGTTGCTTTTGCCTAAATTCTTTATCCTCTTTTTCTGCTGGAAGTCCCTGGAGACCGCCCTCAAGTACTGCAACTACTTGTTCACCACCGTCTTTGTGTTTGAGGCAGTCCTCAAGCTGGTGGCATTTGGTCTGCGACGATTCTTCAAAGACAGGTGAGCAGGGGGTTATCAACCATGGCTGTAGAACAGCTGGGTCTGGGGTGGAGGTTTTGAGGACAGTTCCCTATCTAGTGTGAGGTGGTGGCAGAGTGCCCTGACTGCCTCCCAGTTCTGCACAGCATGGACCCCACCTCAGTCTGCATGAGCTACAATGCCTAGACAATAGTGAGAGTTGTCCAAAAACTGCTTCTTGGTTGGCATCTGCTGGTTAGGCTAGAAAGCAAAGGAGATGAGGTTAGAGAGAGACATTCTTTTTCCTGCCCTCGAGGCAAACTGTGAGCATGCTGAAGCAGAACATATATAACAAAGTTGATTCGAGGTACTAAGGCCATAAAAAGTTGAGCCCATTAGTCAATGCATAGCGCCACAGTAACACAGCTCCATGCTTCCAAATCAGGCTGCCTTGCCTCTGGCTGCTCAGGGTGTGTGCAAAGTGAATCTCTGTTTGTCTGCAAAAGCCCATGGAGGCTGACTCAGAGTGGGGCTTTGAACTCATACATAAAGAAATGTTTAGGTTGAAGTGGAAACAATTCACTTGGTTTTTCTGGGAAATGGAAAAAACTCTATCTTTCTTTATTGTCTTCAATTTTTCTTCTTAAGGTGGAACCAACTAGATCTGGCCATTGTGCTACTGTCTGTCATGGGCATCACGTTGGAAGAGATTGAAATCAATGCTGCTCTCCCAATTAACCCCACTATCATCCGGATCATGAGGGTGCTGCGTATTGCCCGGGGTGAGACACTGACCAAAGGCAGGGTACATGTGGCCACGGAACTGGGACTTGGTGCCATGACTCACTGAGCAGTGGCTGTAGAGTCATAGGCTAACCCTGCCCCCTGCCCTGGAGGAGCCTCTGGGGTGTTCTTTGTCACAACCCAGAAGGGATTCTTCTGGGATGTGATGAAGAATGCCCTGGAGGATAAGGCTTTCTGGTGACTTAGTGGTGAAGGACTAGGAGGGTGGGCGGATAATGTGAGAGCTGAACTTTTTCTGTTTCTTGTTTATGGGGCAAGCATGGCAATGGTATATAAAGAAGAGGCCACAAAGCAGGTTGAAGTTTGAACAGGCAGGGGCCTGAATCTTCCTACTGGTGGCCTAGGTGTGCTGAGCTGGATTAACAGTGGTAGCTGGAGGAAGAGAAACTGATGGAAGGAAAAAATCCAAGCAGAGGGACAACTGGGGTACACATTACTGAGAAAAGGAGGACTTGGTTGTAGTGCCTGGGTGAACCAGAAGTCCAACAGGCATGGGTGGCAGAAGCAGAGTATTTAGTAAAAAGGATATGGACTGCAGTAAAAGGAACAACTAGGGTTGTACAGTCAAAAGGGAAAAGGAGGGTGAGGGGAAACATCCAGTTTTTCTAGGGTAAGGGGAGACAGGACATCTGTCTTGTGCTATTGTCATTAGTAAGTCACACAACGGACAGACCTTCTGAGCTCAGTCTGAATCACACTTCTCTTGTGCTTGTTGTGGCAGTCCTGAAGCTACTGAAGATGGCCACAGGAATGCGAGCGCTGCTGGATACCGTTGTTCAAGCCCTGCCACAGGTAAAACAGACCAGCTTCCCAAAAGACTCCTCTGCTGTCCCTTTTTTTCCAAAGGGCTGATTCTTGTGTAGTCTCAAAGATAGTGCCTACTGTGTTGTGCAGGCAACTGGCTGAAGGCCATGTCCAAATTTTCATGTCATTCAAGGGGGTACAGCTCACCTCACATCTCTGTTCTCCAGCGGGTGAATGAAATAAGGCTCGACTCCTGGATAAGGGCAGATTTCTTCCAATCACGTCTAGCTACTGTCTAACTGCTTGCGGTTAGTCCTCAGCTCCTTTCTTTCCTCTCCATAAGCAGGGAAGAGTAACTGGCAGCCATTTCAGGAGGAAAGGAAGTCTTTGTGTCACTGCCCCCTCACCCTTCCCTGCATGTGCTCCCTTTTCTCCCTTCTCTTTCATTCGCACTCTCGTCACTTCTTTTCTTAGCAACTGCCTCCCCCTTCCTTCTTTTTCTTCTTTTCTCCTCCTGGATCCCATTGTGTTTCTGAGCCTCTCATATATGAGAAGCAGTGACATGCTCTGTTGTGGCTCACGCAGCCGGCAGTTAAGTGTCTACTGCAAGACAGCTAGACAGAAGGATTTCATGAGCTGTGAGCGGCAGCTGTTCCCGAATGAGATGCTGACACAGTGCTTTACACAGGCTTCAAACCCACTGTGAGCATCCTCCATGATGGATGAGCAGCCAGGGAGTCTGGGCCCCTTCCCTTTGGATTGTTAAGAGAGAATTGTTATGTAAGAAGTAATGGCACCAAGTGGCTCTGCTGATCATACATCACGCCATTCCCCTGGCAGGCCCTGAGAAGGCAACTATATTGCATGATATCAAAATGCACAGGCATTTGTCAGTTGATTTATCAGCTAATGTGGCAGTGCTGGTGAGTGATGATGAGCTGAGATTTAGTCTGAAAACAGCATGAGTAGTTACCCAAGGAATTTACTTCTGATGTTGGTGACAACAAATGTCAATCTGAAAAAGAGAAATCTGATTGCACAAAAGTGAGGGGGGAACTCTGTGATCTTTTATGGATCTTGAGCTCTGTCTGATCTCCCATGCTCTTTATTAAACAATTATTTGTGGTTAATAATAGTAGTAACAATAACACAATAATAATAATTCATATGTAGGATATATAATATCATAATTTAGGATACTTGTGGGCTGAGATACACTGGACAATGGAAGGAACGGGAGATTAAGGATGTTCTTATAGCAGGCAGATTTGGACCAGTAACATTTGTAGTTCTGGTTCTGCTGCTCCAGGCTGGCTCATTGAAGCTTCTTTGCACCTTGCTCTTTTCCATTCCAGGAGCCACAAGAGATGATTTTTCTCAGGCAAGGGTCTGGAATGGAGCAGAGCAGGTCTTCAGATCCAGCATCTACATGTCTGTGGCATGTTTATTCTTCAACCCAGATAAATGCACACAGATGCACACAGAGCTGGATGAAATAGCATTCATAAACCTTTGGTAAGAGGACTCTGCAATATATTTGCACTTAAATAATGAGACTCAATGTCTATCCCCAAACTATAGAGAATAAATAAGAGAGCAGGAAATATTCATATCCCTGTCACGTAGATGGAGAAACTGAGTCATCAGAGAGTAAAGTGTTTTGCAAAGAACACGGGTGGGACCTGTGAGTCCCTGCTTCTAGTCCTAGCCACAAACATATTCTTCCATACTTTGTAAATTCTGACTTTTCTCTCTCCAATTTACCTACAGCTCCTTTGCTAACCAAGTTGGTAGGTCAGATCTTTTGGAGGTCATTAATATCTGCCACAAAACAAGCAGATGTCAGAAGGTTTGGCCTCTAGGTATTTCCTGGGTGGTAGTAACAAGCAGCACTTAATCTCTCCAACATCAAAGCCTGTGATCAATGCACTTCCTATTGACTGGCTTTTATTTCCTCCTGTAGCAGGTTGCCTTTGTTTAATAAAGTTGTGTAACAGGAATAAAAAATAACTCCATAGCTGTGTAAAAATCCACACTTTAAGGGCTAAAATCCACCAGTTTCACTGTTAAAAGAATAAATTTAGTCTCCATATTTTATGCACTGGGTCTTCGGAGGACAATTGCATTATCTGTAATATTATTCTCCTAGATTTATTGACTTTGCCAAAAGAAGCAGTTTAAAATAAGCTGTCCTTTCCCTTGCGCTTTTTCCTCTTCTTGACCTTTCTCTTTTTGTTCCTAGAGCACAGACTCACATCAGGGATTTTGGCTTGCTAATGGCATACAAGGCATCTCCAATTGTCCCGTTTCAACTCCCTTCCTGTCTTTGTTATACTGCAACAATTCTTAATAGTGAATAGAGCTTTAATTTTAAAGAGCCCTTTGGAAATGTAGTCCTTAGCTAAGTTTTATGAACTTCTTTTTCTTAATGCCCTGTAGACACAGACCTAGTGGTGTGTGTTCACAGCATTGACTATGGTGTCCAATTTAGTCATCAGAAATAATTTCTTCCACTGAGTATGTAGGGAGCCAGGATCTGGCAGCCCGGGGGAGGGGTGGGCTGAATCATTTATTTCTCTCCTTAATTTGGATGGCACAGCAGTTGCAATGACTAAATTAGACTTCTGAAGTGCATGATCCTAACAAAGGCCCAGTGACCACACTCATTCAGACTAGAAACTTTTCTGTTCTTCAAAAACACCTGTATGCCAGTTAGGTACCTAATTTTTCCATGACTTCTCTTGTTCCACCAACACTGTGCTAACTATTACTATAATTTTCTGCTACTGATCAACCTACTTCTTCCAAAACCCACTCCAGACATGTAATCTGACTGCCCCACATGCGGGGAGGGAGGAGATTCAGAGGCAAACTGTGATTTGGGAGAGTGAGAGCTGGGTGGCAGTGCCCATATTGCTGCTGCATTTTTGCACAATGAAGAAGCAATCCTCTCAAGGGCAGGTTTCCCAACAGCAGCCACTGAAGGTCCAGAAGTCAGGCTTTGACCTATTATTCATGAGATGCATAAGTAGCTCTGCTTTCTCTCTTGGCTCCTTCATAGTCCCCGCTCTTCTCCTCCTTCTCAACACACATCTTAAAAGTACGTCTTTACTCTTCTTCCTTCCCACCTGCCTACTCCTCCCACAAGCCTTGATGTAACCTGCACTTGTAGCTGGTGCTGGTGTACCTGTGTCCCTGTCTCCTCGGAGCATTGTTCTTGCACTATTCACATGATCATAACTTCAAGGGATTTAGGCAGTTTGGTGGGGCCTGTAGCACTGCAGGGCATGTCTCCATGCTCTGACTCACAGCTTGTCCTTCACCCAACCAAACTGGCTTCACTTTCTGAGCTCCTGCTCCAATGTGCTTGTCTCCAACTGTCCCAGAAACTGCACACTTCAGTCAGCTCTGGCCAGATCTTGTGCTGGAGTGAAGGCAACTGAATAAAGAGTCCAGCTGCAACTGGAGCCACGACCGATGATTTCCCTAGCGTTGAGCAATTGTTTGGTTGCATTTGTACACCGTGAATTCACTGCTGTTCTCTTCAGGCTCTGAAAGGCAGAAACACTTGCCTGTACAGCTGAAATGAGTTTTGGGATAGGCTGACCATGCCCTTTGCTTTCAGGTGGGAAACCTTGGACTTCTTTTCATGCTCCTCTTTTTCATCTACGCTGCTCTGGGAGTGGAGCTCTTTGGAAAACTGGGTAAGTCTCAAGCAGACCATGCTCCAGTGTGAGCTATAGACCTGCTGGTTGAGGTTTCTCAAAATCAGTACTCTTTAATAAAGGGACTGAATTATTTGATGGACTTTATTCTCTTGTATGCATAATTGATATAAGAGGAATTTCCTCTAAATTCTTGTTGTCCAGACAGTCTAACAAAATAAAAGCAGCCTCTAATTTCTCTTATATTCTTAAACATTTACTTTCCTGCGCTGTATTCCTTGATGTTGCCTTTAAGATTACAAGAAAACGTTAGGGAAAGTTTGTTTACATCTCTTGCCATGGAGCATTGATCAAGAAGAAAGGCAGCACAATGACATATTCGGAGGATGCTTCTGAGCAACCGAGTACACCGCATGATATCCCAGGGCTAGGCCATCAGGGATTTTTCTGTATTGATGGCCAACAGCCAACTGTTGGGCAGGGTGCTGACACCCATTACCTGAAGTCTTCAGGCTGTGAGTTTGTGTTGTTGATCTCAGGGCTGGTAACGTATCCTCCACTGAGTGCTGCAATCCCCTTTTTTTCAGTATGCAATGATGAGAACCCCTGTGAGGGCATGAGCCGCCATGCCACCTTCGAGAACTTCGGGATGGCCTTCCTCACGCTTTTCCAGGTGTCCACAGGCGACAACTGGAATGGGATCATGAAGGTAACTACCTTTGGGGCAAGAATCTCCTACTTATGGGGAGGAGAAGTTCTGATGTATGCTCTGTTCAGCACTGCTTGGGCTTGCAAAGGAAAGGAGCACAGAAGCTGGGTTGATAGATAAGGTCCCTGCTTGGTCTAGAGTCTCTCTCCCCACTGTGGTAACTCAAACCTTGGGCTCATCTAGTCCTAGAGGCACCTGATTGAGAAAGTGCCAATTTTCCTTGGGAGGAACAAGACGGCTGTCCAGGCTAAGAGGAAATATTCACTGTAGTAAGGTCTGTCATCAAAGCTGAGCATAGGACATGTGTGTTGGATATGGCATCCATCTGCAGAGCTACCAGAAAAATCCAAAATAAATACTTCCTTCCTGCAGAGGACACAGAGAAAGAAAAGTTTTTCGATCACATTTGGTGCTTTTGAATCTGGAGGGGAGAAGAGAGTACCAGACTGCTCATTTTTGGTCTTGCTCACATGAGTGGGGCTACAGTGGCAGCAACATGTAATGGTCTGAAAGTAGTTTTCTCCATATGCCTTTGGATGTTTTTCCTCTGAAGCAGATAGCATATGCAGAGATAGTGTACCAGATTCTTTGGGGACCTCATTATCCCAATGGGTATGGCATGATAGAAGTGTTTGCCTTGTTATTTCCATTGGCATCAGTGATTTTTGGCAGGAAGAGAAACCAGTATTTTATTCTTACTTCAGTTTTTTCTTCCTTCCATCGTTCCCTCTCAAACCCAACTTCCCCTCAAGGATACTTTACGTGACTGCAGCCACGATGACCGGAGCTGCCTCAGCAACCTGCAGTTCATCTCCCCACTGTACTTTGTCAGCTTTGTGCTCACAGCCCAGTTTGTCCTCATCAACGTGGTGGTAGCCGTGCTCATGAAACATCTCGATGACAGCAACAAGGAGGCCCAGGAGGATGCAGAGATGGATGCTGAACTTGAGCTGGAAATTTCTCATGGGCTGTGCTCCCGCAAGTCAGGCTCTCCAAATTCAGGACAGGGAAAAGGAGCAGGAACAGGAGGAGATGGTGGTCGAACAGATCCTGAAGGACATCTGTGCATGAGATGTTACTCTCCAGCCCAGGTGAGTACACCTTTGAGCTTACTAACCAAGCTGCAGCAAGTAGCTGTGGGTAGAAGCTGGGCAGCCTAGATGACTGAGGGCTTAGCAGTAGCAGACAGAGTCTTCCACCTCAGGGTGAGAGGTTTGCTTTCAGCAGTAGGCTTTTGAGTTGGTAGTGTCACGCAGGGACAAGGCTGTGACAGCAGTGTGTCCTGTTTATTGTCATCATGGTGTAGGAACCTAAGGGCCAGCAGAGGAGGGATGGAGCAGATCAGCTAAAGGTGTGACAGGAGCAAATTTGAGATGGGAGCTCAGGAGATGAGTGCAGGGGAAATGGCATATGCAGAGCGAGGAACTCCAGAAATGCTGAAAGGGAGGTGTGAGCAGTGCCGGGATGCACTGAAAGTGAGTGAAGACTGTCCCTCATTTTTTATTTTCTTTTTTTTGCATTGAACTCTGGCACCTTTACACAACCTATGGAGCAAGTGTTCCCCCAGTGACCCTGTGCAAGTACCTGCAGAACAAGATGCTGCTCCAGATGAGTCAGGGTGGAGAACCCATACCCAAATTCACATGAAACTTAAAAGCAAAAAACTCGACATTCTTAAAATGATCTCTCCCGTCCTCCCCCCTTTCTTGTCCCCTAGGAGAACTTATGGCTGGACAGTGTCTCTTTAATTATTAAGGACTCCTTCGACGGGGAGTTAATGATCATCGATAACCTATCGGGCTCCGTCTTCCACCATTACTCCTCGCCGGCCATGTGCGAGAAGTGTAACCATGACAAGCAAGAGGTAACCTGCGTACGAGGATGTGTGAGGGGACCCTCCCCCCAGGGCCTGCACACCCACACCCACATGCCTACAGGCCGTCCGATGTGTGCTCCTGACTGTAGACTGTGTAGACAGTAGACCTTGTTGACCTGTGTTTGTTATTTGTTGTGAAGTGCTAATACTGCCTCTAGTACAGGCCTGCCCTGTTCAGCCACAGGTGGATGTTTGAGGTGGTGGACAAGTGAGACGTGATCGGACACAGGTCAGGAGGGACTGAATGACCTATAGAGAAATGATTATGAAGGCATCCTGGCAGCTCTTGTAGTGTTCAATTCTGCAAGAAAAGGCTAGGTCCAAGCTCATGTTGTATGGAGGACTCAAAGGATCTCACCCCAGTGACAGCACTCAGAAGCAGTTCAGTGGGAGATTTAAGCATGTGTTTTGTCCTTGTTTTAAACACGTGCTTGTTTATTCCCTGTTGAGGTCGATGAATTAAGCACATGTTTAAATGCCTTGTTGAGTAGAGTCACCCTCTGTGAGCAAGGATTGGTTTGTGGTGAAAACCAGTTAATTAGTTTGAGCAAAACCTAAACAAAAATGGGCCCACTGAGAAAGTTTGTTAGCTGACTAATGGGTTGTTGTTAAGACCAGGACACCAAATGGCTTAGATTTGAGCTTCTAAAGTTGGTACATGCTTTGGAGAACTACTTCCTAAGATATTCGTCTTTTCAGGTTGTGAAACTTAGGAACAAAGTAGTCTGGGAGGAGTAGAATTAATTTTATTTCTGAAATAATTTTATTGGATTTAAGTGCTCCAATTTTGTGTGGTCAGACTTGTGGCAGTAGTGTGGCTTATCTAACAGTAAGTTGGTACATCAGTGGCAATCTGCATTGTCTCCTTCCCCATAACTAACTTGATATGTTGCTATCGCTTTTAAAGAAACAAGGAAACTTGGGAAATAAGCTCTTATTGGCAAATTACTCTATCCATGTTTGAAGAAAGCATTATTTTGTTTGGCTTCAGATGCCTAGTTCCGATGTTCTAATTTTTTCTCAATTTTTCAGCTATCTGCCCATCCCCATAACTTCCCTTTGAAAGTACCAAAATGCAAACATCGCTGTAGTTTATTATTATTGCAACACTTCACAAATGGATGCTTCATTAGCGCAACCAAATAACTAGTTTTCAATTAACTGCGATTTCCACTGCTTTACTTAAGTCCTTATGTTCAGCAATTGGTGCTCAGCTTTCTCAGCAAATGAGATCTCCTAAGGCATTCCAGAATGATTACCCCAAAATTAAGTTATTTGCAGCTACTTTGCTACATTTTAAAACCTTCCAGTCTTCGGTAGTCCACTTAGGAATGAAGACAACCACACGGTATTTTACCTTTCCATCAAGAAAACTAGGTAGCAAAATCTTCAAGTGCAACCCACAGCCACAGCAGAGTTTGATATAATAGTCACAACTGAAGAATTATTCTTAGATCGTATTTTTTAATGGTTGTTATAGACCCATAAATTATTTTTCAAAGTTGACATTTCAGTACATCTAAAATGTGGATTTGAAAAGAAATTATCTATATATGCAAGAATAACTTTAGTAATAAAATGTAAGTATTTTATGTCTGATGATATGGATCAAAACTACAGCTCAGGATTTTAAGTCATAACTGATCATGACCTTCTCTTCATGTTCCATAGTAAAAAAACATTGAGGAAATTTTTTTCAACAGGAAATCACTTTATGGATATGTAGCTAACATCAGAAATGGACAGTCATTGAATTAGAGTTTACTCTGCTACATCAACATATTCAAATAGGTATTGTACACACAGAGACAGAACTGTATGGTCTCAGAAGCAATTGACAGCAAGTTACATAGGCAAAACAGTTTTTATCTTGTCTTCTTCAATACATGTGAATTCAAAAAAACCAGTATGCTTGCTGTCCACCATATCACCCTTAACTCTGCCCTTGTGACAAAAATCACTTATTAGCCAAAAATGTTCACTCGGATTTCACTGGTAGATTAATTAACCAAGATGCTGAGCACAGTGGATAGACACAACATTTAAACATATGCTCAAACTTGTTAATATATTCTAATTTTTTTGTAGCATTGAGCCCAGCACCTTTCCCAGTTATGCTCTGACACTTCATTTTCAAAGCAATTATTTGTTCGATTAAGAATTTTTGTAATCACAGGTTTATTTTTAAACTTATACCTATAAATAGTTATTTTCTGAGGGATATATGTGCATGGTTCAGTGTCTCAGGTTGGTGTTCCTGGCAGTTTTCATGGATTATGATCTAGTGACTAGCTCCTCCTCCTCCCACTGCAATTTTTAAAACTTTTTTGTTCCTCATCTTTAGTCAGCAAATTTTAAAATATTCTACAGTAAGTGAAGCAATAAGAACAAAACCTCCTTTTTTCATGGTGCTAACCTCTTCTCTTGTCATTGCTATCCTTCCATTCTTGGGATGGTTGACAGACATTTGTGTATTGGTGGTTGAAGTGTGTTTAACTGCTGGTAGGAGTTTGTCAGTGAACGCTAGTGAAATGTGTTTCCCCACCTGCAGTTTATCTGTTCATGACTTTGTTGATGATGTTTTTTGTGTAGATCCCAGGTGAATTTTCAAGCAGTGACAAACAGACTATTCTGGCTTTTGTTGAAATCCTTTTTTTACGGATGGAGAAGGTAGTCACAGATGTTACCACGTTTCACGCTCGTGTCTCTACAAGCACAGCTGTAAGGCTGTTTTGGTGTAACAACCTCTTAGGCGAGTAATAGATAAGTGCACACATTAAGTGGGACTGAAGGAAGACTGTGTTTCTCCACACAAGTAGTTGCTGACTGGTGGTTGTGTAGCATGCTTGATATAAATTCACTGTGGGCTCTCTGTGTGTTGGTGCTCTGAGGAGCAGTTGTTGGTTTTGTGCTCTCTTCATGGTGGAATGGCACCATGTTCCTGTGTCAGGATCTCTCAAATAAGGATGTCATTTGTGCCCTTTGTCTAAATCCATCTCTGGTTTTCCATCCCATTTGTTTAAAGTGCATTATTCCTCAAATGGAGACCTCTTCCACTCTCTGGCATTGGCACAAGCCACTAAACTTCCAGCTCAAAAGAATCTTCTCTCCAAATGTTTCACCTGCTGTCATGGCACAAAAGCTGTACCTGCCTCTTGCAAACACAACCACATGGCCAGAAAGATACATGGCCAGGAAGCAAGCTGCCCTCATTGAGACAAGACAACCCAGAATATAGCTCTCAAGAGTTAGCTGCTGTCGGTGTGAACTGGTGGGACTCTAGAGATCAGTGACAGAAATCCAAGCACAGGAGGGACAAAGCAACTGCAGTTGCTTTTCAGGCATTGTGAGAAACAGTTGTCAGGCAGAGGGGATTTGAAAGCTTGGAGGAAAGAGGATAGTAGAGGGTCACATATGGTATGAAACAGGCCAAAAGATTAAGCAAGGTCAGGCATGGGACTGGAGGAGAGGCACAAGGATAAGAAAGATGCAGTGGTCAGACTTGCAAGAGAGCGCAGGTATGAGTGGGCGGGAGGGGTGAGTTTAGGGATAAAGAGCAAGATGGGAGATAGTGTTAGGTGAAGTCTTGGGTAGGTTAGAGGGGAGGGGATAGGGAAGACCTAGGACAGCTGGAGGGAAACAGGGTTTCAGTAATGAAGGTAAGAGAAAATGAAACGCATGATACTGGCATGAACTGCAAGAGGCATGACTATCCCTGGAATGAAAGCACTTTCATGTTTAAGCAGGGCTGTCTGCGGTGCCTTCAGAGAGAGGGGTTCACTCCTCATCCCTCAGCAGAGCAGGCTGCCTTGTCACTGGCCTGAGGGAACCCTCTGCCTGCCTGGCTTTACTTGCAGGGCCCTGGGCCAACTGTATTGCTGTGACAGATTCAGGACTTTTCTTCCAATTCTGGCACTAGAGGAGCATGGACTGGTGGTGGGCTGCTTGCAGATCATCATATTTTCAACTTTCTTTAAAAAGTGATTTCTCCTGCCCAGCCCAGGTCTGGGTTAGGCAGTTCCTGATGTATCCAAGGGAGTATAACCTAAAATTGATCTTGGGTCCACAGGCTCTCACTTATCCACCATAAACAGTGTGGCTGCTTGAAATGTGAATGCCAGGCATGACCTGTGATAGCTCCTTTCCCTTCCTGCAGGTCCAGCTGGCTGAAATGGAAGCATTATCCCTCAACTCAGACAAGTCCTCTTCCATCCTTCTAGGAGATGAGTCAGACAATCGAAACACTTCTCAGCTGAGTCCTAAGCAGATCAAGGTCAGCCCCAGGTGGTCATGGGCATGTTACACCATGCACTGTATTTATGCCCCTGCTCATTTCAAGTGCTCTGTATTCATCCAGGTGTCCCTGCTGAGGAATATAATTCTGGTCATTTTTCGAGAGCTTCTCCATAGAGACATACCATGGAGAAGGATTTGAGGAGAACAAAAGGATATATATTTTTGAAAGTTCTCTTCACTACTGTTAATAACTTCCTCTGAATGAGTCTAAATTTAGGGGACTTGGGTGGGAAAACTGAGCATCTCTTAACTAGTTTGAAGGTATTATCAGAATCACCTCTTTTTGAGGCTTTGACAAGTCTGCTCTACCATCTGCCATTAAATTTCACAAGGCTTTGCCCTCACTAATTTTCTTCCAGCAGGATGGCCAGGACAGCCCTGACTTCAGTGGGGCAGAAAATCTTGGGGAATGCCTGCTCCCAGCATCCAGTGAGAATGGCTCTACAAACCCGGACAGTTACCTATGTGAAATGGAGAATACTCCTTTAAACTCAGTCCAGTCTTGGCTAAAGCATGAAACTACCAAAGGTGAGCACAGTTCTCATCGTTCTCCAAGTCTGCTGAAAGTGTGGGTTGGTTCAGCTCTTCTGTCTTTCCCCTGCTTCCCCTCTACCAGGAATGGAGTTAATGTGACGCGAGGAATTCCTAACCAGGAATTAGCTTTCAGTTTGCTGATCTTCAGGAATCGTGTGAGGAGCAGTTCCTTCTTTAGCTGCTAGATATTGTATCTTACCTCAGACATGACTGTGAGAAGTATCGTAAAAGAGCTGATCCCCATTCACAGTAGTGTGCCCATGCATGGTCAGAGACGAGTAGGGACAGATTCCCTTGACATGCCAGCTGGATGAATTGTGCTTACTCAGCATGGTAAAAAAACCACTGCTGCCCCCTGCCACCAGGTACAGTTTCAGAGAACATGTAACACATGTCTGTCCTTGGTGGAAGTGCTCCAGTTCTACTCTAGAGCATGCTCTTGGTCTCCTGTGGTCCCCACATTCCCAAACCACCACTTTATTTATCTCCCTTCAACCCTTGCCTTGCAGGATCTGGGATGAAAATCCTATGGCAGTGGTACATACTTTGGAGAGCAACAGCAGGGGCAAGCTGGGCTGTCACTTTATGACTCTGAGTCGTGTTAGGTCTTGTGGGTCTGGTGCAGGTTTTTGTGCAAATGGTCATGGGCATGTTACACTAGACTGGTCTGAACACCAGACTGAGGCTTCTTGGCCAGGAGTGCATGTCACTGAATATCCTTTGTACACTGGACTTGAGGACCCTCAGTGTAACAGCAGCAAAGGCACCAAATCAAATCAGAGGGCTCTTAAACTTTCTTTTCCTTCTATTTCTATTCTCTTCCCCTTTTTTGGTGCTCTGTCAGTCCCTCCCAGCCCCTTCTCTCCAGGTGCATCTTGCCCTCTGTTACCTGTACCAGCAGAATTTTTCCACCCAGCCACCCAGACAGGGCCTGAGAAGGTCTCAAGTCCACACAACCTTCCTAAGATCTCTCTGCAAGGCTCATGGGCATCACTGAGATCTCCAAGCGTGAACTGTTCACTTCTTCAACAGGTGAGGAAACTCTTCTTCCCTCTGCTAGGAGAACTCACATCACATCTAAATGGGTGAGGGGGCTGAACGAGGACGAGGGCAAAGGAAAGACAGAAGCAGCTGTGAACATGGGCTGGGTAACCTGGATCTGTTGGAGGAGCACAGTGGAGGAGCAGAATGCAGGGGGGCTGGGGAGAAGAGAGGGTGGCACAGCAAAGGGGTGCTGTATAGCTTTCACCCCATCAAGTCACATATTCTGCTCCTTTGGATCAACAAATAGTTTGACAGCTGCAGTGAGCCCCCCATGAAGATGAAATCACATCACTTTGTAGCTCACCCCTGGGTCCCTGGCACTGAGTGTGCTGCAGACACCTGCATGCACAGCAGCCACAGTGTGAGCCAGGGAGATGACAGCTTTACAGCCTCCTTGGGTTCTCTTAGCACCGTGACTCCAGATCACACACCTTGGTTGGACCAGGCTTCGACCCACCTACATCCTCCACAGCCCTTAGTGCCACATCCACACGCTGTGTCCCTAAGCTCACTGTTTTCCCCTGCCCACTTAGCTCTCACATCCCAGGAAGGTGCTATCTCTTTCTGAAAAAGCAGCCATTTCTCACTAGTGAAAGAGAAAAATAAAAGCACTGGGGGAAGATCAAGTGTCTCTGAAGAGCAGAGGAGGCAGAGATGAAAGCCCAGTAGAGATCCCTGTTACTGTTCTTGGAAGATACTCCAGGAACAGGGAGACTCTATTCCAGACAAACTAAAAAATAAAATCAGATGTTATCCAGCTACATGTGACAGACACTGTTGGTACAATACAAATATGTGTAAATTCACCAAGGATAAATTAAGCCTTCATGTGAGACCACTGAGTTGTTGCAGTGTTGAAACTTTTGGTATAAGTTAAGATACAAAGAGGAAGAGCTCTGGATCTGGCATACCACTGGGACAAAAGTACTGAATTATTGTAAAGGAGAAATTGGTAAACTTCTGATTATGTGATGCAGACTGTGTTGAATAACTGGTCCAGGAAACTGCTTCCAATCCTACATGTATCATTTCCAGTGCAGTGTCCCAATGATGATCTCTTAGCACAGACCAATTTCCTAGAAACAACTGAAATGCTGCTTAACTAGCTGAGACCTGACACAAGGAAATTAAAGCTGTTTCCTCTTCCTGCTGGAAAGGGACCCCACCTTTCTGCCCTAAATACCATCATTACCATTAGTGCTGGTCAGAAGAACCATGAGGACTCTTTTCTCTCCCCAAATATGACTGATTTTTTTTAATGAGCAGAGGTGTATATATACAAAAGTCCCCTAATTCCTGTCCAGCTGATAGTTTTGATGTGTTCATAGCCTATATGGCAGGTTTATAGGAAAGCCAAGAGTGAGGACCCACAGGGAACCTCTGCTCCGCTGCTCCCCTGGACCATCAGTGCTCAGGGAGAGCCTAGTGGCAGGGGCTGCAGAGCTCACAACTCCCCAGCTTCCCTTCCCTTTGGTGGAGCACTTCACATGGGAGGCCTAGACTCATCCTAGAGTAGAATTAAATCAGTTTAAAATATTGAAACCTTTCCTCCTCCTTACCCAGAAGGAAATCCCTTGGGCAAGCTGCAGAGCTGGTGCTTTGTAGCATTGCGTATGTGGTTTATAGCTGCCCTTCCCGGCAGAGGAGAGTGAGAGAGGAATCAGAGTTTTTCCCTTTTCTTGTGGTTTATTTTCACACCCCAAAGTACTCCTAAAACAAATAAGGCAAAGTCTCTTGCCCACTGCCCATCTACTTCCTGAGAACTGTGTTTTCACATTCCTGCTCCCCAGCCGCCTGACAGTGATACGTCGCTGGACAGCCGGAGCAGCAGCTCGGCAGGCAGCCTGCAGACCACGCTGGAGGACAGCCTCAATCTCAGCGACTCTCCCCAGTGCACCCTGGACCTCCCGGTGGCCCTGTGTCCCATGCCAGCTGCGGGCAGCCAAAGACCCCTGGCAGGCCCCATCTCCCCTGCCTCCCGCCGCCGGAGCCTGCGGGGCCGGGGGCTCTTCAACCTGCGAAGTATGTGTCGTCATCAGCGCAGCCACAGCAGCGGTGGGAGCACCAGTCCTGGCTGCACTCACCATGACTCCATGGACCCCTCTGATGAGGAGGGGGCGGGCAGCAGCCTGCGGGGGGGTGGCAACAACAGCGAGCCCTCGGAGACCCTCAGCAGCCTCTCGCTGACCTCCCTCTTCTCGCCCCCACCACCAGGGCTGACCGTGGTGAAGAAGTGCAGCAGCACCAGCAGCCTCCACGCCAGCCCCTCGCCCCGCCGCCCCACCACCCACCACGCCAAGCCCTTCTACACCGTTGACCCCCGGGGCTTCCTCTCGATGCCGTCCTGGGTGACGGACTTCTGCAAGGACACCCCCTCGCCCAGGGAAGGAGAGGAGATAGACGGTCCCGGCAGACTGGGGACAGGGGGCCGCAGCTCCCCGCTCCCTTCTGAGCTGGAGCTGGGCGACGGTGTCAGCAAGAGAAACAGATGAGGGTCCCTGAGGTTCAGGGAGGGAGCATTCGGCCGCTGGCATGGGGAGCATGTTTCACTAGCTTCTCCCCAGCAGCAATTCCAAAGGATTTGCAAGAAAACAAAACAGGCAAACAAAAATTTATAAATATATATATACGTAAATATATATATATATTTTATATATATATATATATATAAAATAAATACTCTGGTACCGTACCTCAGAGGCATGGGAGAGTGCAAGCAATACGGGAATGGTCCTGCCTAAGGCAAGACCTGGACCATCACCACAGAGACTATAGTGACAAGAAGAGGCCATGGGGCTTGTAGGGACAGGCCCCTCCAGCCAGGTGACTGCCACATGGCAGCTGTTTAGTTATATACATATACATATATAGAGAGATCGATTTATTTATTTTTTTTACCAAGAGATTGTGAATTTCAGAAAGTACTAAGGAGGAACAAGCGAAGGGGGGCCGAAGGAGCTGCAACACCAAACAGGCAGGGTGGGGGCGAAGGGAAGGGAAGCAGCGTGAGCAGCAAGGGAAGAGCTTGCCTTGCCTGTTTCTGGGAACTTCCTTATTGTCCATGCTTCCATTTCAAACATTAAAAATTGTGGGCCAGATCTTCATGGCAAGTGTAAATTGGCAAAACACGATTGTGTGCTGTTGGTGTAAAGCAGCAGAGCTCTGGCTCAAGGTGGATTCACGCTGATTTACAGCAGGTGAAAATCTGGCCCCAGCAGCAGGGAAAAGCAAACAGCCATGGAGCACAGGAAACATTTTGAGGTGAAAAGCCTCACTTCGAAAGGAATGTGTGAACACATCAGGCGTGATCATGGAAAGAGGGGATGGAGGCTGCATGGCATATTTTTGTTGCTGTTTTGTTGGGTTTGTGTTTTTCATTTTCCAAAGAAGGAAAACTACTAAGGGAAAAAATTACAAGACTCATGAAGAAATTTGAAGTGGGAGAGGCAGGATAGAAGGAAGGCGGGAGGTAAAAAGGGGAGAGCAAATTGAACTTTTCCTCCTTTCATTTACAGTAATTGTGATTTTTCTTTTTTAGAAGCCCAAAGGTGCAAAAATCAACCCTAGAAAAACCTATCTGTTATTTTTGTATCTATAGCTATATATATTAAAAGCAAACTAGAATATTAAAAAATACATAAAAGCAAAGGGGGCTTCAACAATACAAAACTCAGTCAGTTCCCTGGCTGAGAGCTAACCCTATTCCAAGTTCTAGTGGGAAGACCCAACAAGGGCAGTCTCAGCTCAGTCGTGACTCTGCCTCCTCCCCAGCATCATCCTTTGGAGTTTTCCTGATTTGCATCAGTGTAGTGGGGACCAGAGTCCTGTTTACTGCCAACTGTGGACATGGAGAGCAGGGAATACGTGTGTGTGTGTGTGTGCGCGCGCATAAAATTGTAAGGGTGTTTATATATGTTGTGTCAAGGCTGACTGGCTCACTGAGTGAGCTGGAGAGACGGGTGAGAGGGACAAGGAGAACTGCATCTCTCCTTGTCTCTGCCTTGCAGAGCAGTGTGAGTGGAGAGGCCTCCAATGTGGAGGGTGAGGGCAGATCAGCTCCTCTTACCATGACCTGCCTCGGGATCCAGGATGCAATCCAGTGAACACAATCCTCTCCCAGCGTGGTTGGAGCAAGGCCTCCAGAGGGTGCATCCCTCCTTCATTTTCCAGAGGTATAACTGCACAAATCTCCTTCCTGGCAGGGCCAACCTGGATCTCCTCCTGCAGCAACGTCAAGGTGTTGTACCCTTTGCAGATTTGCAGGTGGGTAGGAAAACCACCCACTTGAGGGGGACAAGGAATTTCAGACATCCCCTGCCACCCCAGGGAAGTTCTACTAAGCTGTGTCAGAGAAGATGGAGTGGGAAGGGCAGCGGGGAGAAGACAGCGGTGCAATGGAGATGTGGAAGTTTGGAGGCTGGTGCACTGAGAAGGAGCGGGGCTCCCTCAGGGCCTCCTGTCCCATTTTTTCCACTGGAACAAGAAGGCCCCTGCAGCCCTCACAGAGGTCTCCCAGTTGGCATATGAAAGCATTGTAAAGTGGGCAGCACAGAACAGATGTTCTGATAATATTGTGACCTGTCTGACTTTAAAGCAGCTGCTGCATCTTACAAATTGGGGCTGTGAACAGTGAGCACAACAAATGGGACCAACAGCCAGGAAAAGGATAATTACTGTGTGAACTTAATTTATTTGCTGGAAGGAGTGTTTGCTGTGTTGCAAGTGTGCATACTGACTGCAGGGAGGTCAGACCTGTAAGGAGATAACAGGAGAGCCTGGGTCCTTGTCCTTGCAGAAAGGATACAAATCTAGTTTTATTAAAGCAATAATAAGGGTCTTTAAATGCTTTTTTTGCACTGGTGGTTCTTTGGGTGAGTTGCCCATGCTTTCTGTCCTGAGGAGGGACGAGAGACATGGTTTCACATCCTCAGGGAAGGAGGGAAGTTACTCCCCAAATGGCTGAGCAATGATCTTGGGTTGCACAAGGCTTAGACCCAAACCCAGAGCTGCTTTGAAGCCAGAGGTAGGGCTTAAAAAAAAGCCCCGAACAGTAGAAACCTATCCAAACTGAGTACAATTCAAGGCAGAGTGTTTCCTGGAAGATGGCCATAAGGAAAATGGACTTGAGACTCCGAGCTGTCCTGGCAGTTGTGTGGGCCATGAAATGTTTCAGCAGAGGAATGGGAGAAAGGTGAGAGATAGAAAATACCCCAATATTTGATCATGAGACAAACATGGCCTGCACTTGGGATGGCTGGGAGGGAAGAAGTATCGAAAGACGGTGGGGAAGATGGTAGTGGTGGCCTCACAGGGTGACTCCAACCCCTAGGATGGATGCTCTCTCAGCTTATTCTTGGTTGTCCGTGGAAATGTTTTGAATGTGGTTTGGGGTTCATGGCAGTCATTTTGCTCTGAGGGTTGTCTCCCCTTTGCCTCCCATCAGGGTCATGCCAGCTCTCCCACCTCCCTGCAAAAGGGCTTTCACCCTCTGCCGTATAACTTGAGCAAAAGGCTTCTGGCTTAGGAAAGGAGGTTGCCATGGAAACAGAAGAGTAGGTTATCTTTAGAGAATATTTTGTCTCTCTCTTTTAATTATTTACTAACTGTTTGAAGAAGAAGGAAGAAACATCTATCCTTTCTGAAGAGGAAGAAGAATACTGAACCCCATCAAACAGTTTGGTTTTTTGCTGGGGATTTCTGTGGCGGGGCAGGTTGTACAGTTTCTCCTGGCAAGAGCTGCCTTTCCCAGCTATGCCTGGCTGTTGGCACACACAAAAACCTCTGTCATCACCCACCCACCTCCCAGACAACACCTGAGGGTAGCCCAGGATTTGCCCCGGCATCTTTTCAGCCTCCTGTACTCCCCACTTCCTACTGGGGACTATCGCAGGCAGTTCGTGCCAGGACTCTCTTTGCTGTCATCAGCCTGATATCACTGTGTTTTGTCCAGCTGCCACACTTCCCTTATGCCCAGCTCTCCCCCACGTCTGCCACTGAAAGCAGTCCCTCTCCCTGCTCGATGCTGAGCTCCTCCTTGAGCTCGCACATCTCTGCCGTGTCCTGCTCCCACTGCTGCTGCTCTTTTCATCTTGGCTCACCAGGTGTTTTTCTGAGTCTTTTTTTCTAAACCCTTCCTGTAAATTTTCCTCGCCCACCATGACCTCTGGGCCTGTTAGGGCTGTTTATTGCAGCTGCAGAGCAGAGCCCATCCCTAGTGCTTCCCACCTTCTCTTGCACATGGAATCAACAACTGCTTCAACCTGCCCATGGAAAACACAACAGTATCTAGTATTTCTTCTGCTCCCAGAGACTCTGACTCAGCACAGCCAAACAAGTGAAGTATACCACTAGGTGTGCTTCTCATGGCTTCTCAATCTTCATCTGTCTTCCTTACTACTACCAGAAGTTCCTTATGAAATTAGGTATATAGGAATCAATTGCCAGTGTGACCACTGTTTTCTTTCATGGAAAGTTGGCAATGTGGTGCATTTGGGTTTCTGGGGCTTTTTTGTTTCATTTTGGGGATTTTTGTGAGGCCAGGTCCTGTAAAGGACTGAATACCACCAACCCTCTTGAAATTAATGAATTGAGCAGGACTGGGGGAGGGCAGAATTTGAAAATGTTACTGACCGGGAAAATAATTTTTCAGACAGAAGAAACATACAGCAGAAATCCTTGAAGTGTTCAAGGAATTGAATTTTTTACTTTTCCTTTTTGCTGAGAATGAAAGGATTTCCACCAAAACGGTTCTCATGTCCGTAATGCTCACACAGGGCATCACAGAGGTATTGTGTTCTGTTCGGGGTGTGGTGACTGAATCCTTGAGACACCAGGCCAGCCATCCACCCACAGGGCATGGAAGATTGCTCCCCAGGCAGTGAGGTGTCTGCAGGAGATGTGCCCTGCACGTACACCATGCAATGAGGGCAAAAGTCTTTGTAAGGCCAGCTCAGGAGCAGAGACTTAGTTTTAGCCAATGTAAATAAAAACTCAGCATTTATTATGGAAGATAAGGAGGTAAGCAGCTTTGGTTCACTTGTTTTTATCATAAGAATTTCACAGAGAAGAGAAAAACTAAACCCCACTGATTTTTTAACTAGCCAAGACATAAAACACTTGTAGGAAGAGCTTGGTACTTTGCAAAGTCAGGCACCTGGGTGTGTGCCACCCAATTTGACCTGACTTCCAAATATCCCCTTCCCTGATCATCTGCCTTACTTCTCTCTTTTTTTATTTTTTTTCCTTGCTTTCCTTGTTATTTTTGTTCCTTGCTAGAGACTGGTTTCCAGTAGGAACTCACTACCTCCGTATCTTTGAACATATATATTTATTCTCATTTAAACATATATATTTCTTCTCTAGCACGTTTTCCTTCTTCTGCGTATTTCCAAGCCCCCTGTTTGCATCCACTAAGATCCTGCCACACTTTGAGCAGGAGCTGGCAATCTGCTATTCAATATTTATGCCTCCCGGCCACTTTTAGAGCAGATGTGCTCAATTTTGCAAGTAGGGAGCACTCACCCCCACCAGAACCAGCATACCAGACCCTGTTTAGCAGCATGTCTCTGCTTTTGCTCCAACATCAGCTGCGGCAATAAGGGCTCTGCCCTTCCCCTTATGTCAGCGATGGGATTGCACAGATGAACCCTATGATGAGATCATTCTCTCTTTGTATGTCAGCACAGCTGCTGAACATCTCTCAGGCTCATGACATTAATAAGAGTAGGGGGGACTCAGCACCTCTTGAAGTTGCTCCAGTGAACAGCTGGGCTGTTGCCATGCAAAGCACAGCAGGCTCCAGCTCACACTCCCTCTTTGCTTTTCAACGCTGTGGGCACAGAGGAATACAAATCTTTCCTTAGCAGTGTTGTCTGTAGTCGCCAAAGTCAGAAGATACAGCTCTCCCTTCATCTCATGGTCCACAGAGCAGAATGATAGCAGTGAGAGAGGCACTGCTTTTCCAAGACATTTTCCTGGAGATCAGAGCACTTTAACCCTCTGTCTTATGCTGCTTTAATTATCTGTATTAGTTTGGAAAACTTTGAAAGGTGCTGTAGCTTTATTTTGGTTTTTTGAGGTTTTTTTTTGTTTCTGGTTGCTGCAGCAATGTTGGTGCACACATTGCACCATGCTAAACAAATAAGCTCCTCCTGCAGCTCTTCCCCTCTCTTTCTTCCAGCTTACTCATCCTGGATGAAATTTTTGCACTGCAAGCTACCTGCTTGTGCTGACCACAGTGCAGTGGGATTTGTCATTGCCCTGCTGCGACCACTTTCTTTCTCTTCTTTGCTTTCTTATGACTGCTGCTAAGGGAATAGCACTGAATGTTCCTCCACTGGAGTCTGTCAGAGACTGTCAGAGTATCTCCAAAAAGAGGGCTAGCAACCACCCAGCACAAGCAAGCAGGGCAGCCCTCCCTCCTTCAGTCAGAAACACACGTATGGGCTAAGATGCTGCTTCAAAACAAAATGTCAGCGATACCATGGGATGTTGAGGATGGCAATCTGAAGAGAAAATATTTTTCAGTGAAACATCTTTAATCTAAGCTTTTGTTCTTACATTGAAAAGTGCCTTCTTAGGGAGAGAATCACCCACACACAAGCATGAGAAGTGTCATTCAAGAACCCAAGGTATGTGGTCCATGCACAGGCAGGTATTTCTATTACCCTGCAAGTTCTTGACATAAGCCTTGCTATCAAACTATCACACCTTTGGAGATGAAGTATCAGAGGAGTCCCCTAAATGCTCCTTATCTCCAAAAAAAGGGACAAATGGGGTAGCAGGTAAGCTTTCCTCTAAAACTAGCACCATCACCCTTAGCTGCATCTAATAATTGCTGGGCTGATAAGGATGAAAGCAGATGACCCCATTTCCCCTTTCAATTACAACTTCACCAACACAGTTAATTTATGTTCTCACACACTTCTCCAACCTCCTTATCTGATCTGTATTAAGGGTTTGTTTCAAGGTTTGTTCTACGCACAGAAATACTACACACATTCTAGATAAAACTAGATATTTCTAAGAAAAAAGCTGAGTGCAATGTAAATGGGGTGATGTGGATAAAATATCTGCTTTTGTGTGTATAGTCCCTCTATATACATGCAACTGCCCCCTCCCCCCGTATGTTTATATTTCCTAGCACAAATTTTTGAGATTATCTTCCATTGAATGTAGAGTTAATAACACATGAGAGACTGTTAATCATCATTGGCCACTGATTAGTTTCTGCTGTTATTGTAAACCCAGGCATAGGAAATAAATCAGGAAGAAAAAAAAAGAAGGGAAAAAAAAGGAAACTTACAACAAACAACATGGCATTAAATTAAAAAAAAAAAAAAAAGACTATTCTGAAAATCCCTCAGTGTCTGCTCAATATTTATTCTTGTGCTTCCATAGTCACTGATGCTTTCTCTCTGTGTGTGGGCGTAGGCGTATACCTGTTTCAGGGTGCCTGTGGCTTATAATCAGACCTCCCACTGGTCTCTTTTTTCAAGAATATATTAAAGCAGTAAACAGCCCAAACTGCTGACATGGGACACTGCTCACCAGCCGTCCCCACAGCATCGATACAGGCAATGTCTGGGCAACACTGTCTGTAACAAGCTGAAGAGGTCTGTTCTTGCCCCAGGGTGGTAAGCCCGATCCAGCCATGCACCACAGACCTGGAGCAAGGGGCAACCTCAAAGTGCTGCAGCCTGAGGGGTACAGCTTAGCTGCAACCCATGTGAGTCATCACTCAGGGAACCAGTGTCCGTGGGCAGGGGAAATAAGGGTGTTGGGGCTGGTGGGGAGCTGGAGCAGATCACACAGTGGGGCACGCAGGGACCTGGGGCTGTTGGAACCACCACAAGTGTGCATATGTGCATGTACTTGCATTCTTGGGGATCACTGGGACCCTCCTCACACCATGTAAATTGCTACTCCATCTGCATTTCAGAATTCGAACTGTGGCACTTCAGCATCAACAGATTTGCTCAGGAACCCGAAGAGGTCATAGGTCCATATCAAAACACGTTGAAACACTCTTCCTTTTGGGCAAGGATGTTCTGGCACCTACGTGAGGGAGGCCAGGGAAACACTCAGCTCTCTCTGCAGTAGAAACCACCAGCATGCAGGGCCCTGGCTGGGGTGGGCAAACATGGCAGTCACACCTGCACTGATCCCATTTTTGCAAGGTGGGCATGTCTGAACAGCCCAAAATCTCATAGCAAAGCAAGAGTGCCTGTGCAACTGCTGGTTCTGTGACTGGAGTCAAACGCAGAGTGCTGCTCCAGAGTGATCCCCCTGGGGCTCATCCATACTTCTACTCAGTAACCACTACAGAGGCAGAGCCATTCACCTCCATCCCAGCTAACTCAAACACCCTAATCTGATGGGACCAGTGGCAGGCTAAGCCCTGGGGCTGTGGGCACTGACTCCTTCCCAACCTGACTGGTAAACCAACAACCTTTCCTTTTGGGCTTGTACAGACACAGCATTTTAATGTTTAGTTGTGTCCAAGCAGCCTAGGTAACAAAGAGGTAAGAAGGCCTGAGAGGAACTTGCCCTAAGGATGGAGAAAGATAGTTAAGGGTACCTGGAGGAGGAGAACTGACTGCTGGCTCAAAACTTGAGACAGATGATTCACCTTGAGGGACACCCTGAGGGTGCAGATTTCTTCTCATCAGCCTCATCCTCGCTTGCTGCTGCATTCTTCTGCTCTGTAAATACCTCAGGAGTCAATGCAGTAGATAATGTGGCACTTTTGACATTTGAGGGAGGATTATCTTAGAAGTGAGTGTATAAATCTGCTTCATCAAAAGACCAGAGCTAAAAAGCAGATGCCAGCTTGCAGACCCTGCCTGTCTGGGATCTCCTGGTGGCAGTCTCAGAGGGACAGGCCCCATGTGTGCAGCAAGCTATGGGGCTGTTGCAGCACTTGGACAAGTCCAAGCATGTACGTAGGGAGGAAAAGAGGCAGCCTGGCAGGTTGTGTTGTTTGCTCTGGACTGGTGATGATGCAGTGGTGTCATTTTCACACTAAATGCTAATTTTCTGCTTTGCTGGCCTCAGAATCGCCTACATTCGTATCCTTCATTGCAGCAATTAAAGGGCTGGGTGCTCGAGCTGATGCACTTGTGATGAGCATGATTTTAATCGGTGTGCACGGGAGAGGAGGAATGTGATTGCCTTGCTGTTACTGTGGGAACATGTGAGAGACCATGACGGGTAGGAGAGCCTCTTCCCTGGTACGCGGCTACATCAGCTCCAGCACTGGACTGGAGAGTGCAGGTTTGCCACATCTTCCACTTTTCCACTTGGTCAGGAATTGCTGTACGACTTCAGCAAAACATTGGAACAAATCACCTGCTCCCCTGCCTCATGTTTATACCCCACGATACCACTCTCAAAGGTGCCGTGCACGCCATCGAGGTCTCCAGCTGATTGCGAGACAGGCTGAACATCACTTGCCTGTTCCCTCCAGTGGGGAGGCAGGGCAGAGGGAGAGGGCCACACTGCACCAATAAGATTCCCAGGTGTGCCTATAGGCAGAAGGTCCCTGCTGTGAGACAGCATCTGAGGTTGCTCTGCACAGGTGGGCAGGAGAGTCTATTTGTAAAAGTGCCAGGAAAGATATTACCGTGTAAGTACTTAAGCATTTACACTGTTTGCCTAAATCATAAAGCTTGCGCTGCTGGATGTGCTCACAGATCCTCTCTGCCTGTCCAGGTGGCTTAAACATCCCTCCAAATGGAAGCACAGGCTGTGACACTTGAATCCTTGCTGCTTTGCTTTCCCTCCGTGTGGCTCAGTGAGCATGTTTGGTGGGGAGGGGATCACTCTGCTGGATTCCCCAGCAGAGCTATACATCTCCCTGCTGCTGCCACAGCACTAGAGGAGTCACAGCAGCTGACATGGGCAAAAGCCCACTGACAGCTAGGTTTCCCTGTCATGTTGTGCCCCATGTCAAGGGATTTCTATGGGCAGGGGCATCTTCAGGAAAGGAACATCTAGAGAGAGATCAAACTCGTGTCAAAACTGCAGGAGCCTCCTGCCAGGGAAGCAGGAGGTAACAATATTTCTGGGGCAGATGACAAGCTTCCTAGGTCATCATTTCAGCTCCTCCTTGAATGTACCCCAAATCCTTCCTATTCTCCCTTCTCCTCTTTTCATCCCTTTCTCTCCTAGGTTCAGGTATTCGGTTCCAGTCATCTGATGTGGGGGCTGCTTGTGCAGCATGGGCAATCATGCTTTTTAGGCCCCTTTCAAGTTTAGGAGTCACCACTGTGTTAATGCTCCATGCTCGAGATGAATGTCTATGCTGAGCCAATTCCTCCATTCCCTCCCCCAGCTTTCAGCATCACTTCTGCTACATCCTCTGTCAAAGGGACTGATGCATGTGCCCTTCAGTCATTTTCAGGGTCCCAATGCTGTCCCACCCATAGGAAGGATCCTATGTCCCCTCATAGCCCATCTCACGCAGCAAGTGCTAAAAGGCAGGAAGGGGTGTGTGAAAAAACACACCAACTACTCCCAGTAGTTCTGAGCATTCCTTGCAACTGTCCCTAGAGGGAAACCTGTCCATGCTGCCTCTGAGAGCTGGGAAGGGAGAAGTTAGCTAACCTATGCTGGATGTGTGGTGCACACCCAGGAACCAGACACAGGGCATGCCAAACTCAGGGCACACCAGTGTCCAGGGTCAGGGATACAGGGTGAGGATGTAGTGCCAGCTGTCAGGAAGGGATGCACTCAGCCCACAGGACTGTGGGCCACAGGGGATTGTGAAGACAAACCTAAGGTTGCTTTGACACAGGTGGTCTGGGCACTTAATTGTGAAAGAGTGGAAGGAGAAGGCTTGAGCATGAGCTCACCATCTGCATGTGGGACATGGGACCACATAGGTCTGTGCCAGTGTGGTTTCCCTGCTCCATTTTCCCAGGCTGGTATGAAAAAAACTAGCCTGGGATGACTTCACTTGCTGCAGTTCTATGCTGGAGACCACAGAGACATGCCTCATATCTGTCTTACTCCTTGACTCCCCATTTCTCCATCTGATCATTTAATAGAATCATAGAATGGCCTGGTTTGGAAGGGACCCTTAAGATCACCTAGTTCCAGCCCCCCCGCCATGGAACATTCCACTTAGACCAGGTTGCTGAAAGCCACATCCAACATGGCCTTGAACACTTCCAGGGATTGGGCAAGTCCCTGTCTATCTCGTTTTCCTGTTTCATGGCCCACCCACTTTTCGTGGCAGTCAGAGGTAATTACAGACAACACAAAAATCAGGAGCAGCTGGTTTGGTTCGCTTCACCAGATTAGAGAAGATTTTGAATCTTGTAGCTAGATTAGCCACCATATCTCAATGCCTGTCCTGTTCCTACCAGTGAATTATGTCTCAGGCATTTGAACACTTATCCTGTTTTTTCTGGAGGCTTTAGCAGTGCCACTGCTCTCTGGTCAGGCAGGAGGCTGGGTAACCTTGGTAGGCATGGGCAGACCAGAGCAAACAGCCCACACACACCTCCAGCACGGCACACGTAGTCTGGGCAGCTCAGAGTTGCCTTGTGTGTGCAGGACACCTGTACAGCATGGTTACAGAAGAGCAGGCTTTGCCCAGCAGTGGGCTACAAGATACACATACACACCTTTATGACCTTCTACTTCCCAGATATGGGCCAGCCTGAAGGACAATGTGGAGGATAAAATAATTAGAAAGGAGGTGAGTTCTTCACTCCATTGAGCTCACAGCTCGTGCCCAGCAGAACCCTCTGTCAGGCCCTATCTGACCTCCCTAAAAAACACCTCTTCTGTCTGGGATGGCACTCAAGAAAGGAGGACAGACAGAGTAAGCATAACTGTGCCAGAGGTGTATGTTCTTTATTTATTAAAAAAAACCCCACAATTATGTTTGTGACAAGCAGCATCTGAAGCAAGCTGTTAATTCTCTTTTCATTATGGACAGGTGTGCTTCCAGGGTTCAGATATGTGGGCAGGGGCAGGAGATGCTCACAGGGTGAAGGGGCCACATTTGGATCCATTGCACATCTCAATAAGTCCGTGTCAGCAAGGGCTCCCTGCTGCAGAGGGGGAGCAAGACCCTGGCTGGGGCAGACACAGGTTTGGACAGATAAGCAGTGAGATCCATCTCCCTCCTTCAGAGGCATGGGTGAGAAGGGAGATTTCTCCTTCTCACTGGCAGAGCTTGGAGCTCAGCCTCTATTCCTCCCACTGTGCAATAAAGACAACACAAGGAGGAGAGGCACTAGAGATTGACAGCCATGGGAGATTTCTGTCGCTGTTTAGGACGGACCTCTCTCCATCACTTCTTTTGTCTTTCCATTTGTTTTGCCATCTCTCTCTTTGCCCTTCATCCACCTGCAAATCCTTTCCTCAAGCCCAATCCTCCTCTCCCTTTTGTCCTCATTCTCCTTGCCTTTTCAGTAAGTGAGGAATTAAATAAGCCTCTGTGGAGACAAACCCAGGTAGAAGCTTCTCCCTTGATTTCCTGAATAGGATATCGATGCAGTTAAAGAAGAGACACCTCCTAAAGTTGCTGCATTTACTTTTATATCAAGTCCAGCGTACAGCAGGTCGGGGTTTGGAAGCTTCCTTAGGGCCACATGAATGCTTGAAATGCAAGAACTCATTATACTGCAAAGAGCACCTGCACACCCAGGTACCTGCCACCTGAATAACCACAATAAGCAGTCTCCAGGCGCTGCCCAATGCACTGAACAAAGGAAGGCGGGGTCTGATCAGCACCAAGGGCTCCCCATCACTCGGATGAGGCCCACCTGAAAACAGTAATAAAGAGGGGTGTAGGGTGCCATTCTCAGGGTGTTTGTATTTAGTGGGTAATGAAGGAACCTGAAGGTAGTAGGAGCAACTTAAAAGAAGGAAGGATGCAGAGGAAAGGTTTCTTTACTCTACAGGATATGTTCTTGGCTGGGGCTGTCCCTTGGTGCTGGTGTCTTGCATCTGTGCCGTCAGAGTAAACAAGCCTCCTCTTGTAAAGTCTGACCTCAAGCTGTGTAGTGAATTCTGGTGCCAGCCAAACCTGCGCTCAGTCACTTGCAGCAGTATGTTCCTTCTCAGTATGATGCTGCTGTATTGCTTTCACCACAAGCGCCAAAGGCTGTGAGATGCTTTTCCTTTGGGACTCAATTCCAGGTACAGTGCAGCATCTGGCCAAATTTTTTATTGCTCGTTCTCCCTCCTCACATTGCAAAAGCAGCAAAGTTTCCCATTAAATTTTATGCCACATTTCTACTTGAGAGCTGTCTTAATCTTTGCATTTTCCTTTTCCTGTTAATCTCAGGATTAAGAAAAAGCTGTGGAAGTATGACTTGAGCTTTTAGAAATATTTTCTGCTTTAAAATAATAATAATAAAAAAGATATTAACCTGCAATGAGCAATCCTTTTTATTTAGAACTGAATTAATGAATTTTAACTGAAGATGGGCATGTTTGGCATTAATATATGTATAATTATGCAAAACCACTGTTATGCCTCTAATGAAAATTAGATTCTACCACTGAGGCTGTGTTTGGCGATAGTGTATATCTTCATTTGTGCTATATTTATTCTTTTTTTCCTAGCTGCATGACCTAGGATTACAGTTGCTATGGTGATAAGACAGTTAGTGAAGGAAGAAGTGAAAGGTAAGTTTGTATGTCTGCTTCTGCTGTGGGGGTGGCAGGGGAGGGGGCCGGCAGTCTCCTTCCCCCGTGCTCTGTCTGCCTCCTGCTATTGCTAGGACTGAAAAGCACTACTGCACAGGCTATGGTATTTCCTCAGTAACTCAGGGATGGGTGCTCAAGCAGCAGTACTGAGTTTGGGGTGCTTTCCCCAACAGTATATGTGCATGACCAGGCTACGGGATTGCTGTGCTGGGACTGGTTTTTTAGTGGGGTGGGAGGAGCCGCTCACCTGTGTGCACCTCTACCAATGGCCCTAAAGAGGCTTAGAGCTGGGAATGTCTGGGCTAGTGGGGCCCAGAGTTAAACCTTCTGACTACTCTTATGTATTTGTTGACCTGCATTTGTGATCCTGTGTACCCTGGGCTTGGAACTGGAGATGCTGAACATATTTAAAAGATGTGTAGCTGTGGTGGACTTGGCAGTGCTGGGTTAATAGTTGGACTCAATGCTCTTAAAGGTCGTTTCCAACCCAAGTGATTCTATGGCTCTGAGTGGCACCTCTGTCTCCCCTGTACCTTGAGTTACATTATCAGCCCTTCTGCTGGGGTTTGCTTGATGGTGCTTGCTGCAGAAGAGGCAGCATCCCTCGAAACCCTTTCAGGAGCCAGTGCCACCTCCAGACCTGAGCAACAGGCTCAAGAGTGCAAATGTTGTTTTAATAAGAAATTGACAGTGGGTAATCTCTCCTCTGTGCAGCTTTCTTTATTGAGAAGGGACATACACAAAGTCATATTGCCCTGAGCACAGCTGTCCAAAACTCCAAGTATCTCTTCTAGCCTGCATTCTGCAGCCATAGCTCTCCCTTATCTTGCCCTGTGTGTGGTGGCTTCCTACCTGCCTCTCCCAACCTGCTGCCCCATCTTTCTCTTCACCCCTCTGTCAAAACTGCTCTCAACATTTGCTTTAAGCTCCCGGTGGAAACGCTTACCACAGAAACTCGGGCTGACCAGCCTTGGTGATTGCAAGTGATTCAGGCAGACTTTTTTTTGCAATTTTCTATTCTAAAATA